GAATTTTCCATATCACTCTTTTTGCTTTAATTATACAAGAAAAACGAGTGGTTTTATACGGTCTTCGCGGAGTGTATTTTGATAATTTTCATCGTGAAATTATCTTTCCAAGTTGTTTATATTTACAGGGTGCCGTAGTTTAACGAGTTTTGATATCAAATTTAGTTTCAGATCGGAAAATCAATACCATTAATAGAGAAAATGGAAGTGAATTACAACAAATCTTTTTTGGATTTAAATTATATGAGAAATGGAACGATGTTTAGTTTTAATGTTACAACTTTTGTTAGACTTCAGAATTGGTTCATAGATAGTGCAATTTATACTGCCAATGAACATGGAAAATATGAACCATTCCTTGGAAAAGGCTCAACTGATGTGTGCAAATTTCTTGGAAATCAAAAAGGAAATAAATTGACACGATTACTGTTCGAACAATTAAAAGGCGATAAAAAGTTTCCAACATCATGTCCAATCGAGGCAGGTTTTTATTATGTCAGTAAAGTTGATTACGACGTAGATACTTTCTTAACTCAGTACATTTCGGACACTAAAGCTATGATCGCATTGGACTTTGGCACAAAGATTAACCGGAAAATGAACTACTTTGCCAATGCTAAAGTTTTCTTCGAGTTGAAAAATCGTTTAAAATGGGAAAAAGAACAACTTAAGAACAAAACTGAAGCTCAAAACAAATTGAAGCAACAGAAATCTTAACATTCTAATTGAATCTTGGTATTGCCTTCTGAACCAATAAAAACATTTCCATCATTATTTTGTGATGATCACCTCAATTCCAAAACGTTTGTATTTTTCATGTTCCAGATCAGTAAAATAATTATCATAAGCAGTCAGATTAGGGATAATAAATTAAAAAGGCATTAAGCTAGTTTAATTTGAAGTGAATGACTGATTTATGAATCTGTAATAAAACTGAAATTTATCAAAAATCGTTTAATAGCTTGACACCCAAAGAACTTCTTTGAGCTAATTATTTTTACATTATCATTTTTTAATGGTCGAATTTTCTTTTCAACCTGATAAGTAAAGTTTGAGCATTTTACCTAAGAACGACATTAAAGAAATATTAAATTTAAACATTTTTCCCTCAGCTTGGAAAAACAATTTATCTATTGAGAAATTATGAAGTATCACAAAACAAATCAGCATCAGATGTGAAATTCCTTTTAAATATAACTGAAAATAATTCTCATGTAAAGCTTCAATATCACGACTTTTTGTTAAGAAATTTTGATCATGAATATCAGATAAGAATAAAAAAATTAAAAAGATATTAGAATCAGCCATTACATCAGCTTACATTATAGATGACTGAACTAGACCAATTAATGATGAAGAATTCATTTTCATCAGTTTCATCCGTTTAACCGATGTGAAGACAACGATGGAAGTCGCGAATCGTAGAAAGTACTTGGAGATTATTATTTTTATATTGTTTATGGTGGGATTATCCTTTCAAGCAGTTGCGTATTTATTGAATTTAAACAATTAAACATAATTCAATAAACCATAAACTTCTTTTAGCTGGAAGGATCGAGATACATAATAGACCATCTTGAGTTGATAGAAAATAAATCTTATGTTGATGTGAATTATCGGCTAGAAACACTTGCAAATAATTCATTTCTGCTAAACTTTAATGTTACGACTTTAGTAACATTACAAAACATCTACATACAAAATTCACTACAAGTTCTTAATTCTAATGGAAAATATGAATCGTTTATGGGAAAAGGTTTAACTGATCTATGCAAGTTTCTTAACCTTCCTAGAGGAAATAAAATTATTCGCTTAATATTCGATAAAATGAAAGAAAGAAAGTTTCCTACTTGTCCAGGAAAACCAGACGTTTATTATGCACACAACATTTTATTTGATGGAAATAGCATTCTTTTTCAATATGCTGGTGATATCAAAATTATAATAATTTTGGATTTTGGCACAAAAATCAAAGGTAAAATGGAATATTTTGTTAATTTAAAAATTTTCGTTGAATTTAAAGAGCGAGCTAAATGGGAAAAGGAACTACTCAGAAACAAAACTTTAGCTCAAAAAAGCAAACATTAAAAATATATTTAAATTAATTGTCATCATCAATAAATAAAAAATGATTGAACTAAAAAATTTAAATATTTTAATAGCGATCATTTGAGGATGATTTTTATGATGAATACCTAGTTTAAATTTTATTTTAGATTGTCATTTCAAATTGTGAACACAACAATGAAAGTCAACATTCGTAGAAGTCATTTGGAAATATTTTTTATTCTAATATTATTGATGGTGGAATTTTCTTTTCAAGCAGTTAAGTTACTCATTGATAAAAGTTTTTCTTTTTTAATAAAAATATAATTTTTGAACAGAAAAGTTATAACTCGAAACTTATAATAGAAAAGATGGAAGTCATACAAAACAAGTCATTTTTTGACTTTCAACATTCTCTTGATAAGACCGAAAACAATATTTATGTTTTAAGCTTCAATGCAACAGTTTTAGTGAAGTTTCAAAATATATTTCTAAGAAACTACATAAATGTTCTAAATGCCAATGGAAAATACGTGCCTTTTATTGGAGGAGGTGTAGCTGATTTATGCAAGTATCTCAACAATCGAAAAGGAAATAAATTTATGCGCGTATTGGTATCAAAATTTAAAGGTTCCAACAACTTTGCAACATCTTGTCCTATTGAGCCAGGAGTATATCACGCAGATGATATAATATTTGACGGAAATAGTTTCATAACTCAGTTCATTCCAGATGGGAAACTAATGGCTGCAGTAGAGTTAGGCACAAAAATCAATGGCAAAATGAATTATTTTTTCAAAACTGAATTATACTTAAACTTGATGGATCCCATGAAATGGGAAAAAGAGCGATCCAGAAATGATTCTCAGAAGGGGTCAAAAGTTTAATTTATTTCAAATGAAAATAAAATTTTTTACTGGTTGAATGTTTTCTTGTTTTAATTGAGTAAGTGACTTTCACTTTTCTTCTTCGTTCATGTTGAGGTAGTAAATTGTCGTTTGAATTAGATAGTCTAAAGTTCTCTTCAAGGCGTCTTATTGATAATTCAATAATGTTTAAGAACATATTTTCAACTGCATTTCTTTATCTTTCAAAATATATTTAAACTTTCTGTTCTTTCTAAGTGTATTCATTTACAAGATTAAGTTATAAATATNACGTTTTCTAGAATCACTTGTATGAACGTTTTGAATAGATCTTCCTGGAAGCTTTTGATTACTAAGAAACATATCGTTTATTTTTGATAGCCAACAATCTGATTTTGTTCAATCATCAAATCTAATCGTACATTTGATTTTTGAAAAGATTGAAGTAACAGAATATTTACATCGCTCAACTTATTTGGAAGTGTTTTGTGAAAGTAAAAATAAAAATACAAAAGACATCTATTAGCTTATCAAATCATTTATTATTAGATACTTAAAATTACTTAAACAAGCTATAGCGGTATAAATTATTTAATTAATATTAAATTTTTTTTGTTTCCCAACCTACAACTTGATTGTAAGATGGAGGATTAGAATTTTCTTGTGATTCAACATTATGGCCCATTGTAACTGATGGTTGGTTTACTGGATATGGAGAAATGTATGAGGTTGTCGGATAAGGTGCTGTAGGTGCTGAAGGTGCTGTAGGTACTGTAATTTGGGATTCATTATGATAGTTTGTTTGAGGCATCGGCATCGGCATCGGCATTGGCATAGAAACATTTTGTTGATATGAAGGCATGTGATTATCAGTTTGTAAATTCATTTCAAATGTGTCATTCCTGCTTGTCTGAATCTGCACTTGATGTGTTGGTTGTTGATTTCCAATCGGTTCGTGAGTGTGTGATGTTACAACAATAGGATCTAAAATTGATTTAGATTTTAATGAAATCAAAAATTAATTATTAAATAACTTTTAGAAAATCTTACTTGAGTATAAAGCTTGTTTTCGTTTTCTCATCATTATAGCAAAACATACGCAACCACATACACAGATTGAAAATACGACAAATCCTATGAATGGTATGAAAAAAAATGGGCTAATTGAAGTGTCCCAATTGTCAGCCATAATTATTTTTCCCTTGATAAAATATTAAACCTTAAGTAGCGTGTTTCTTCTTTTAAACTGTATTAAACATTGAAAAATATCAGAGCTTTATGAGTATTTTAGGGGTTTCTCCAATCACATGTTATCGTTATCTTCTCTTATCAACACTTGGAATGGCAAAGGTATGTTTTTTATCTCATGACGTAAAAAGACGTAATCGCTTGTTCGTAATAGTTTAAAAAAGAAAATGAGTCATTTTATGGCACTTCTTAGCAGTTTTACTTACGTAAATATATTACAGAGATAAAAAAAATTTATATCAGACAATTGCATTCCATAAGAAAAAATTAAATAATTTGTTTAATTTTGTAGCTGAAATTAAGTTAAACCATTATTCTTAAGAACATATTTTCAACTGCATTTCTTTATCTTTCAAAATATATTTAAACTTTCTGTTCTTTCTAAGTGTATTCATTTACAAGATTAAGTTATAAATATGTTGAATAATAAAAACAAATTTCATTAGAGTTTTACATTTAAATTTGAAGCACGAATTCCATTCATTGTATCATTAAAATAGCTTTTGTCAAGTTGAACTAACAGTCTTTCCTTCCGCTTGATGAACAGAAGGAGATACAGCACTTGATACAGCTTGGTTGTATGATGGCGGAAGGTTATAAATATTATGATTCGTCATGCTTGCGTTCGTTGGAAAATTAGAATAAGTTATCGGTCCATTCATGGGAATTGTCGACGTTGCAAAGTTGTGATTTGAAACTGTTGAGATTTGCACGGGGACAAAATAAGGCCCATGACTGGGGTTGGGGTGTCTTGAAGCAATAATAACTGCAGCTATGTAGAAATAAATTAAAAGCTTTAATAAATAATTTTAAAAGCTTTCAATCTACAAACTCACAGGTTGAAGCAAGTCGTCTGTTTTCTTGTCTTATTTTCCTTCCCTTTAAAGATGCTAAGGAAAATACAAAGAAACATAAAAGTCCAAAAAATATCCAGAACAAAGATTCCATTTTTGTTTTCTTGAAACTCTCATCAAAAACAACTACACAGTTCGTTTCGTTCTCACAAATTGACTGAATTCAGCTGATTGCTTTATTTTCCATTCTAATCTTTCACATGATAACAGTGTTATCAGTCAATTGTAGCGATATATGATTTATTTTTAGCACACTTTTACAAGTTTATTTATGATACAAGAAATAGTTATAAACCTGTGAAGAGTTATGAATGATTGTATGAGAAAATTTAGAAATTTTGTTTAATTACCTACGTACAGGAATTTTAATTACCTTAGCTAAAAAAAGATATTTAATGCTTAATTAAGAAATTTATAAATAGGTTGGAGCTTATTCCATTTAGCAAATAATTTGTCGTCATTTCATAAAAGTGTGTTCATTGTGTATCATTTAAACCTACATAGAGGATTTGATGAGTTTCTTTTTCTGTTGTATCTATTGGAGATGACAGAATTGTCAATGAAAGGAAAATACCCGAATGAAAGATGTAGCTATTGTGTACAAATTTTTTTTACGTCAATTGCTTCAATTATCTTTAACATTCGAAATCTAATTTATATATGTTGCTAGGAAGTGCTAAATTTATAAAAAAAAATTTGCTATTTTTTAATTGACTTTTCAATTTTCAGTATGTATCTGTAAATGTTTTTCCCTTTGTCAAATAAAAACTTAATCAAGCTAAAGTCAAGAATTGAAACGATTTTTCTAATAATTTTATTTAACTGTAAATTAAAATTGGTAATAAAGTCAAACATTGAAATCACGAATAATTTCAAAACATTTTCTTTTATTTTCGTCACGAAATGTACAAAATCTTTAGAATGAGTGACACATGCAAATACTTATTCTTTAATGTCTAAGAAATGCATCGGGAAGCTATCTTAACGACATTCTTTGGGTAGTATACATTCACCCTCAGCATCTCGAACGAAACCATCATTACAATAGCAATCAGGAATGCACATTCTTCTGCAAGGACGTGGAATCGGATCTTCACAAGTGGCTTCACAGAAGTTATAGCAATCTAAAAATTGCTGATTTTTTCCACATGCTGAATAGATGTTAATTGAAGAGATTTAAGAACAATTTTTGATAGTAAATAAATACCTTTTTTGCACTGACTTGGGTCAATGCAGTCCCCGTTTGGATCTCTTACAAATCCTTCTTTACAATAGCAAGCAGGAATGCACATTCTTCTACAAGGACGTGGAGTCGGATATTCACAAGTTCCTTCGCAAAAGTTGTAACAATCCAAAAAAATCTGATTTGGACTACATTCTGAAATGATTTCGGTGTAGATGAAACAAAATGATTTTTATTCTTATCTCCTTATATTCAATATGTTACCTTCTTGACATTTCTCTTGGGGAATACATTCGCTATTGGAATCCTGAGCACGGACAAAGCCCATCTTACAATAACAACCTGGAACACAAGGTTCTTCACATGAGTTGAATGGATTTTGGCAATTAGGTTGGCAGTTAGGAGTACCACAAGCAAGATACTCTTCATTCACTGAACAATTTTTTTCGCACATTTTCTTCGCAGCAGTTGCTGTTTATAAAACATCATTAAACCTTTTTAATATAAAATTTACTCAACTTTATATAAAATTCAAATTCACCTGTGAAAATAATGAAACAGACGTAGAGAGTTTTGTAAGCCATTTCTGATCCAATGAAACTTGTTTCGTTGAAATTCGATTAAATACTAAAGTGGCATGAACTTATCATTTCCATAAATATTCATTTACTTGACTGTCTTTAAAAACTTAACTTACTTATACTTTTAAGTTAAAAGTTTGATTGTCGTTTGAATAGAAAATTGAAATTGTGTTTAGTACGATTTATTTAATATCGAAGACCAATAAGCGTCGTGAATTGAGGATAAAAGTTCTAAAAATTATCATATGACGTATTTCTCACCTTCACACTCTCGAGCATAACATAAGAAATGAGGAATATTTGATTAAATTAAAATTGAAATAAGATGAATGATTTTCTAGAAATCTTCTTTGAAATTAATTAACATGTGACGTTGTCTTCCAAAATATTTGGTGTTGTAATACTTTCCTGGAAACTGTGAATGTTAAAATTAAGCTTGTCATCAATGAACATTGAAAATGCTGGAAAAGAAATTTACTTTATTCGTTTACTTACATGACAACATTGAGCTTTGATGAAATAAATATAATTCAAAATGTCTTACATTCGTTTCAGAAGATTATTACGCTTTTATTCAGATGATTTCGTAGCATTTGTGTTTTATTTATATAATATTTCAACTTCCTTCCTTCCTTCCTTAAGTGTAAATAATTGTGGAAACTTCCCCACAATATGATTTAATGTTTAATTCATTTTTTGTTTACAAGTTATCCTCTTACAAAAAATTTAGATGCGTATAAAAGTGATATAAGGAAATCGTTAATCAAAGGTACTCATGTGAATTAAACAGAGATAAATTGAAAACAGAAAAAATGCGAGACCACAAGTCACAGTTGTTGCCATTTTCGAAAATGTTGAAAGAGAAAATTGAGCTGAAAGAGAATGTTGAGCACTGGAATGTTTGAAACAACCATTGAAGAATAAGCGACAATTTTCGTTATAATTATATCAAGTTTATTTTATTTAACTTTCACATCGTTAAGCAGAACATCGTTTCCAGTAAAATAAAAGAAAAACTTTCCTGACAAATTTTTGATGAAAAGAATTTGAAAAAAAAATCTTTTGAAGCTTCATTTACCATGCAAATTCTTTTGCGATGTTTCCACTCATTTTCCTTGTGTTCCCACCATGTATAATGGCATTTTGTATTTTTATTTTTAAACTGAAAGAACAAATTTGTTGTTCCTTTGGAATTGAGAAATCGGAAACAAGTGAAATGAAAGACACAAAGACTTGAATTTAAAATTCAAAAAAAAGTTAAATCTAAAATTTCTTTCTAATTTTAGAAGCTTTTTCTCTTATTTTCGACTTCTGACATAAATTTGATTTTATTGATGAGGAAAGAAATGGCAAAAACCACTGATTATGTTAATCGAAACAGCAAAGCTTATTAACTGTTCTTTCAAGTCTTTTCATAAATGATATTCTAGTTGGTTGCTTTTAAGTCTCCCGATATTTAACATAAGCAATACTCAATAATGTAATGTTTGCGCTTTCATTTATATAATATGAGGAAATTTCAGACGTCTTTTTCAGTATTGTTCAACAACTTGTGCCATATTAATTCTTTTACAAAAAGATTTTTTTGGTGTTATGCACGATGTTAGAAATTTCTTCATTTATTTCCTTAGCATGTTGCTTTAATTGAAGATAAAATATTTTCGCTTGATTATTAGAGCGCATTTTAATAAATTTCCTCGTTTCAAAATAAAACACAAATCCGATTAATTATCAGAAATTTTTTAGGAGTTTTATGACTAAAATTTAAATTATGATTTTACTAAACTTCATTCATTGCTTAATAAATTTAAATATTTTTAAATGCGATGGAACATTATAATTGCCAATTAAGAACTTAAATAGATTAAATACCTGGATGAAAAGATTTTTATTATTTGTAAACAAACACACAAAATTGCAAAAATGTGAAATGAAACCTCATCAACTTCCTAAGTATATGAAATAATATCATAACGAATCAATGATCATTAATTTAATTGTAAGACATTGATTAAATAATTAACATAAAATTTTAATTCCCTTCACTCATTCATTTATATTTATTTATGTATATAAATATCTAATTATTGATAGTTTATTACGATTTTATCACAATTATAAATTAACACATTTATCTTATCGATTACAAGTAAAAAAATTGAGCTTTAACTTTGTCAATGATGTCAATTTAAGATTCAGATTTATGTAGCTTGTCACGCAATTTGTTTGATTGCTTCCGATTGAATCGACATCATCGACATCATGCAAATGCTCAATGAATGATTTATCTATGTTTATGTAGTTTTGTAGTTGAATGGATGTGCTGTGAGATGCAAGAGAAGGAAAATCGTGATTTTTGGTCATCTACATCTAGATTCAATTTTTATTTCCTTCCCTTATTTACTATGTGAGATTTTCTATTTATAAAACTACTCGATCTGTTTATGAAATGTGTGTTTGCATTAATTTTAATTCTTACGAATAAATTTATAAAAAAACATCTAAGTAAGTTCATTTTCCTATAAATCGAATAATACTTCATGTGATTTTAGCTCTACACTTTCTTAGTAGAGGCAGTAAGTGCATATGGATTAAATTAAATTAATTTTCGAAAGAACTTATTTTATAGCTAATTAAAGAAAGGTTGGAAATATGTTAATTAACAAATTTGAATAGCAACTTTCATTCAAATAATAGCGAGTAAATAGTTTAATAATTTGCGATATCATAAATATCTAAAGCATTGTTTGTTTAGTTTAAAGTGTAAATAGTAGTTCTGTTAAAAAGATGAGAAGTTATTCTCCAAAAATAGCCATTTAAATATAATCAGCTAAAGAAATCTACATGAAATTTGTTGAAACGATTGGAAACTTTTCACTCAGAATAATTCTCAATATTCTCCTTTTATTAATTATTGTCGCATATATTCTTAAAAATTATGTAATTTATATTGTTAAAATTCTCATTATTTAAATATTTTAATGTGAAAGGAAAAAAGCGGAAAATAAAGTGAAGGATAAGACACAATACTTCTAAATATCAAGCGGAATGAAGAGAATGAAAATTATTTTAAAAATCAAAGATAGGCACAAAGACGAGGAAATATTGAAATTTGTTTTGTTCTTTGTCATCTTATTACTCGAAAAAGTTAAATAGCTATCAATTTTTTTCTTCCTTTCATCGTAGAAAATAGAAAAGAATGGTCGAGAGATATGTTTACAGTAGTTCTTGTCAGTTTGACTGACAATACGAGAAGATATTATAATTTTTTTTATAAAATGGCAAGAATATTCCAAACGTGAGTGATTAAAAAGTGTTTTATATTTTAATGAATATTCGAGTGTTGTCTAAATCAAGAGAAATAAAATACAATTGTCACACTTTTTTGGATTCAAAAGTCTTTAAAATTTGACCTCGAAGATTTATTATTGGCTGCTTGTGACAATATCAAGTTTGGCATTCAAGAAATGAATCTATGAATGCTTGAAACTCTAAAAGCATTCTTTTGTTGTTAAATTTATTCAATTTATAACAGCCAATTGTTGTTTTAAAGGTTGTCTGGGAAATATTTCTTTCTTAAATTTAAATAAGTCCTCAAGAACTTCTAATAAAAAAGGTCTATTTAAAGTGTATATAAAACTTAATTTAACATATAAACCTGTTTCTTTTAACTTTTGTTTTGATAAACCTCAAATTATATTTAAATAAATTAAATAAATCATAACGAAGAAATTGCTCGTAATGCAAAAAGTTTTCTAAATCAAAGCGAGGAAAATTTTCTAATTCTTTTAAGACGTGTGACACGTCACGTGTCAAATCAATTGTAAAACTTTTGTAGCCGTCATAAAGGAAGTTGAAAGTTTCTTTTTTCCTCTCATTTTCCCCATGAATTTGATTCAACGAAACTTTTTGCACAAACATTTTTTTTTGTAAATTTTTGTCTTTTTACTTTTTTTTTGGGATTTTTTTTACTTTTTTTTTGTTTCAGCTTGTAATTGTGATTGTCATACGAAATCCATTTCCGTGTGGTGTTTAGTCGCTCGCCGATCCATTGCACGTTCAAAATATTTCTTTAACTCCGACACAATGAAAACTGAAGATGTTAACGTGAGCAGAAAAATTATGTCACTTATGGTCAAAGCTTCAGTTTGAAAAACCATTTGTAAAGGTGGAAAAAAAAATGACCAAAAGTTGTCCAATCATTGAAAATCCAACCGCGAATAAAAACATTTTATTCGAGAACAATCCAATCTGTCGTTATAAGCTTATTAAAATTTCTGGAAGTTTCGGTTCAATAAAGCGTAAAAACTTACCTGAAAAACGCTTTTTGTTTGTGAACGACAACTTAAAGCATTCCACATGTCAAACAGCACGAAACATGTAAACGTCATTGTTGTATCTCGTTTTGTTTTACCACCAGATCCATCTTCCATTTCACGTTGAAACACATAAAGAGTTCCGACAATTATTAAACCAGCAGACAGCAAAACGTTAATGATGAGAGACTTTGAGATCATCGGCTCTTTGACATTTCTTGGTTTCCTTTTAAGAACATCTTGATCAACTGGTTCGACACCTGATTGATTAGATAAAGAATGATGAGATTAATTTCTGTTGAAGATTTATTCCACTGCAACTTACCAAGCGATTGTGCTGGTGGCCCATCCATTATGATATTTATCCACAAAATCTGCATAGCATTTAACGGGTTTGGAATTCCCATTAATTGTGAAAGTGTAATTAGTGAGAGAGCAGCTATCGATGTGCTTAATTGAAACCGTACGAAATTTCTGATGTTGTAGAATATTCCTTTGCCTTCTTCAATCGCAGCTCTAATTTTGTTTTTAATTTAAATGAAAAATATTAAATAAAGAATAAGAAAATTAATGAAAACTCACATAATTGTATGAAAGTCGTCATTGACTAAAATCATATCAGCAGCTTCTTTACAAACATCTGTTCCATTCTTTCCCATTGCAATTCCAATGTCAGCACGTTTAAGAGCAACACCATCATTGACACCATCACCTGTCATTCCCACAATGTTCCCAGTGTGTTGCAGTGCTTTAACAATCGCCAACTTATGTTTTGGTGTTACGCGATAAAAAACGCTAACATTATTGATGACTTTCTCAAGTTGCATCTCATTCATTTGATCAATGTCATGGCCACTTATCGCTTGTTGATGGATTGTATCTAAGCCAATAAGTTGAGCTATTGTGGAGCAAAAGTGAAAAGAAATAAGAATAAGAACAAGTTCATCGATAAATTTTACTTTCTACAAAACCCAAACTCGAACCCAAAATATTTTCATTGTTACTTCATTGGAATTTCTGGAGATTCCCCAAAAAAAAAGAAAATTTCTTTTTTAATTTCACAACCGATACGAACATTTCTTGTCAAAAATGTGGAAGGAGAAGTCCAATGAAACAACCAATTGTGGTATAAAAGGAAACGAAATATTCCAGAAATTATCACTTTAGTTTTGATTTTAAACCTTATCAAAAGTTACTTAAAAAATAAAGAAATAATGAAGACTTTTACAATTTTCATGTTAGTGGTTGCAGCAGCAATTTTGAGCGACAATGCAGATGCAAAGATTTTCAAGAAAAAGAAATGGTTCCCAACATTCCATCTTGGTCTTGCGAATACATTTGGAACAAGTGACAAAGGACCTGTAGCATATGAAGAACATCCCAAAGTTGTGGAAATTGTGAAACATGTTCCCGTCATTCAAAAAGTTGAAGTTATTAAGCCCGTAGAAATCATAAGAACTGTGAATATTCCAGGTAAGAAGACAAGGAAAAGTTTTGTGAATTTAGAAACTTAACGAATTTCATTTTACAGTTGAGGTTATCAAAGAGGTTGAACTCATAAAGCATGTTCCAGTTATTCAAGAAGTTGTAAAGGAAATTGAAATCATTAAAACGGTTGAAGTTCCAGTTGAAGTTATCAAAGAAATTGAAGTAATTAAAGAAGTGCCAGTCGTGAAAACAGTCGAAGTTGCGAAACCTTATCAAGTTATCAAGCACATTCCAGTCGTCAAGACAGTTGAAGTGGAGAAGCAAGTCGTTGAGAAAGTCCCCGTCGCCCAAATTTCACATTACACAAAAGAAATTGCCCTCCCAAAAATTCCACTCCCAAACCTTAAAAATCCATTAAACTTCTTACATCCACAAACTCAAACTGCACATCAATACGAGACAACATAACGACCTCATTGAATTTTTGAAAATGTTAAATACTTTAAGCCATAAGAAGCCATTAGAATGAAGACATTTAAAAGCCAAACAAATTAATTGAATATAAATAAAATGAAATGTCAAATATAGAGAAAAATAAATAAATTGTTTAACTAATAATGACAACTCACCAATTGCAACAGCAGTTTCATGTGCATCGCCAGTGACCATCTTAACTCTAACACCGCTTCGATTAAGAATATCAATAGATTCACGTACAAGTGGCCTTGGTGGATCGGTAATGCCAACAAGGCCAAGATAAACCAAATCAGTTAAAGTTCTTCCTTTTGCAAGTGCAAGAACTCGCAAACCTTTTCTTCCAATTTCGTACGCTTCCGAAAGATATTCAGATTCACTTTGTTTCGTCAATGCCACAATTTGTCCATTGAAAAGAATCTTCGTGCATTGCGGAAGAACCATTTCAATTGCACCTTTGACAAAGAATATTTCTTCTTTATTATTATTAGCAACATATCGTGGAATAACTGAAACTGCCATCATTTTTTGTTCGGAACTAAATGGATATTCCTTAGTTCGAATGAATTTATCACTAATTGTGTACATTTGATTCTTCATTGCCAGTGCAAGCAACGCACCTTCAGTTGGTGTTCCTAATAAAACTTCACCTTGAATCAAAGCATTGTTGCAAATAGCACCAGCTTCGATAATTTGATTGATACTCTGTTTAGCTATTTCCATGTTTGTACAGTCGCGAATGTGAATTTCTCCATTGTCATTGTAACCAGCTCCTGTTACATCTGCCATGTATCCGTCAGCACTGATGATTGTCGTCACAGTCATTTCATTTTTTGTTATTGTTCCTGTCTTGTCACTACAAATGACATTAACGCATCCAAGTGTTTCAACTGTCGGCAATTTCTTAACGATACAATTTCTCTTAGCCATTCTCATGACTCCTAATGCCAAAGTTACCGTCACAACAATTGGCAACCCTTCAGGAATGGCAGCAACAGCTAAACTGACACTGATTGTGAACATCTCTACGAGAGCCTTTCCTTGTAACCATCCTAAAAGCATGATGATGCCAATAATGCAAAAGGAATAGAAACTAAGCTGGGCTCCTAAAATGTCCATCGATTTTTGAAGTGGAGTCTTTGGCGCTTCTTCCGCTTGCATCATCTTAAAGACCTCTCCAAATTCGCTCTGCTCGCCTGTACTCACAACAATTCCTTTTCCATTTCCGCATCTAACTAATGTTCCCATGAAAGCAATGTTTCGCATGCTGCTGTGATTCTTTCCAGTTCCAGGAACATGAGCAAGAACATCAGTTGTCTTTCTAGCTGGTTCTGTCTCACCAGTGAAACTTGATTCATCAATTGAAAGATCAATTGCTTCATAAAGTCGAATATCTGCTGGCACACGATCACCAACCGAAAGAAAAACGATGTCACCTGGCACAAGATTTCTGGCAAGAAACGTGTCTAAGCGGTTTTCACGTAAACTGAATAAAAGAATGATAAGAAAAAAACTTACAAAATGCCATTTATTCATTCTATTCATTCATAGATAAGAGAAAAAATATTGCCAACTAACCAATGACACTCAGGCGGAACAAGCTTTTTAAGCTCTTCAAGAGATTTCTCTGAACGATATTCTTGAATAAAGGCGACTGTCACTACAATGATGATGGCTATTGTTATACTTATAGCATCATCAAATTGTTGCATGATTATTGAAACAAGTGCAGATCCTAAAAAAGAACAGGCATTGATATTAATTTGATTAATTTTCTTGAGTCACGCGACATATTTTACGCTTGTGCATTAACTCACCTAAAAGTAATAAAATCAGAGGATTTTTAAACTGCTCCACATACTTCTTGAATGTACTGTCCTCTTCTGGAGCACTCAGTTCATTAAATCCTATTATTTTTGAACGACTCAATGCTTCTTGCCATGTGAGGCCATTCCTTAGATTACTGTGAAGTCGACGTTCAACTTCCGAAGCGGAATATGTTGCTGACTCGGCAGTCGATAACAACATTTCTTTGGCGAAATTTAAGCCGTCGGCCTGTGATATATTAAATGAATTGATAATATCAATTAGCACATTACTATTACGTCGCTTCTTCATTAGACAGGAATTTAAATATAGTTTAAATCAACACAAACAACTACCAATGATTAAAATAGAAAAATGATTAATATTGGAAATCATTTTCAATTGAAGAATGTAACCACTTGATAGACTCTTCATTACTTATTTCTCTTCTTTTTCTTTTTCATTACGTTCCCATGAAGAATTAAAGATATGATTTTTTGTCGACGTTTAAAGTGTTTTTGAAGGAGAAAAAAACGTTTTTTTTATTGATCGTTAGACAACGTTAAAAATGAATTGAAAACGTTAAAATTGGGGCCATTAAAAGCTATTTAAGAAAGGAGACTATCGGCTGCTCATGAAGAAATATTGGGAACATCGACATTTGATTCTAATCAAATAAAAGCTTTTTTAGATTAAATTTTCCTCTTTCCCATTACCATTGACATTGCTACGTAATGATCCATGATTGTTAGTAAAGCACGCATCAACGGTTTCACACTTTTTATCCAGTTAAACATTAAAAATTAAAGACAAATTAATTAAAAGCTTCAAAGCTTGTAAAATGTTTAAGTTCACCTCCGTTAGTGTTCATTTAGTTAGACAAACATTAAATCTTAAAGTAGTGGTAAAACTACTGCAACATCATCATAAGTAAATAGAATTACGGAAGTAACACAAGAGTTCAAAATATCTTTTTACTCATAATGAAAAGCAAACATTAAAGGGTTTTTGATAGAAGAGGGTGATTTGATTTCCTTCCGACTTTTCATTTACAAAATCACAATACGAAACACAAAGAAAATTTCTTTTCAATTTTCCAATATGACGTCATTTTAAGCTTTACTTTTGAAGTATTGTTCTTATGAAAGTATTACTTAATCATGGGAACACTCAGTAGTACTTTCGGTGATTGTTGAGATAAATGAAAACCTATTAAAAACCCATAAAACATCCCTTATCAGCAAAAAACACTCACAGAGATTTTCTTATTGGTTTGAAAAATAATTATTTCACTTTTATCATCACTTTGAGACACTTGTTCATATTTGTGATTTTGACCTTTTACGTTTTTACTATTTTTCATGGTTCTCTAATAAATTAAACTACATCAAGCACTGTTTTTCACGGAATAAAATAAATTATTTTATATTCATGTTGCGACTTTTTTCATACGCGGTATCGTTCGATTGAATATTATGCACACAGTCTTTACTTGAATATTCTGCACAATATATTTGAATTTTTCAAGTGCGTTAAACTTTTCGTAAATCTTAAGCTTGGTCATTCAATTTTTTTCTAAAATCATTTTAGATATTCATCTACATCAAACGTCATTTATTGAAAGTTTGGTTCTATTAGGTTTGACAAATTTAGGATTAAAGTACAAGGTTTAAAATATTAAAACAAATAAATAAATTAAGCTTAATAACATTAGAGGTTTAAGCAAACGAGAAGAATTTCGTTCATTGTCAAGATTGAGCTGATTAAAAAGTTCTTCAGGAATATCTATATAAACTTTATCAACTCCGAAATGAAAAATCATATCGCGAAGTTTTTCAACATTCACGGAATCGTTGACTGATGACCAAAGCGTAAATGTAATTGCATTAGTCATATTAAGTGACCTGTATAAATGATCAAGTTCAGTGACACTTTGACTGGCAATTCCTGCTCGAACAGGAAAAGTTATCTGGTTTGTGATGTTGTTTTCTTTTATGACGTTTATCATTGCATCAACTTGTTCTTGAGTGTAATGACCATCTGTGTAATTGTAACCCCAAGCTGTTGTCCAACCAGGACTTAGAACAGCATTTTTTAGTTTCTTTGCACCATCAAAGAATTCCTGGGCATCCACTGGTATGGTTGAAGTGTTGTTCCATGGTCCCGGATAAATATCTGCATTAATCCATACAGGGTAATCCATTGTATCCCACAATTCCATCAGCAAAGGAAGAGAACTTTTATAAACAGTTGTCGATTTGAAATCCAACTTCACTCCTTTCTTCTCACTTATATCTTTATTTTTATTGTAATCAAGGACTTGATTAAGAAAACTTCTCAAAGATATATCAGAAGTTGTTTCTGGAGGATGTCCCATTATTGGTTGCATTTCTTCTGAGGAATCATTATTTAAGACCCCATACACAATATCAGCTTCAATCATATTGATATCACCTTTAAATATTTATTAAAGTTTCATTAATATTACTAATTAAAAAATATAAATTTACATACGCACTTTTGAGAACTTCATCTAATAAGCTTTGAGAGTTTGTCCTATGTGACCATGAGATCGATGTAAGATTAGTCAAAGTTGTTTCCATTTCGTCTCCTGAACAACTGCATAGTAAGATAAGATGAATCAAGAGAAAACTTAATATGGAAAATTTTTGAGCCATTTTAGTTTTCCTTGGAAAGCTGGCGTTTTAAATAATCAAAATTAAGCAAATTATCAGCAATCTACAATTACGTAATGCGAAAACGTTAAATTTCCTCGAGACTAATGAGTGTAACTTGCTTTTCTGATAAATATTTTTAAAGAAAACATTTTTAGTAACAATCGAAACAAGAAAAACTTGAAGAATGAAAGAAAATTTTGAAATACAGCTCAATAGGATTATGAATCAAAGTCAGTAAATCAGCGGCAATCTAATCAATAAAAATAACACTTGAAGTTTTGTTGAATTGTTTAATTATATCAACTTGATACATTTGTCAACACAAATATCAATGAAAACTTATTTACCGAAAATTGGCAGGGTTTGGTTTTTACCGTTGCTGTGAATTCAAACTCGAATCGGTTGTTTACATTCGGTTTATCCGGTTGATAATATCAGTGAATCTAATTGGAATTTTGGTATCATATTAAAGACATATTTTTGCATTCGTACCTGTTTAGTGCAGCAGTTTTTGATTAATTTTATACTATTCAACTTCATAGAATAAAGCTTCATAATGATGGTTAGTTCACATTTAAAAATTATTAATGACTTTTCATTTAAAGAAGAAAGTAAATTTTTGGGTTGACTCATCAGTTTCAATTGATAAGGAAACAAGAAAAATTAATATTTACTCTCTTTCACTAATACTAGGATGGTGATGATGATTCTGGATCTGCAAGTCCTCAAAAAATTGTTCCAGATACAAAGCCCAACACGGAAAATCCTATCAAAGACACACAACCAGAATCCTTACCTGATAATACTTTAATTGTGGAGATTTCTGATGCACTTAGCGAGAAAGATAGAGTGAAGTTCACTGTTCACACTAGAACAACTATGCCTGTAATTTAATTAAGATTTTTTTAATACAATTTATTTAATCTTTGCTTTTTCGCGGTTTAGTGTTTTGCAAAACAGGATTTTCTTGTTGTTCGTCAGTTCGAAGGTTTGCTTTATATTTATTCTAAAATTTCTAAGAATATTGCTAATAATTATTTACAATTACAGAATTCGTTTGGCTCCATGATAGATTTGAAGAGAATGAAGAATACGCTGGTTATATCATTCCACCTGTTCCTCCTCGACCAGATTTTGATGCATCAAGAGAAAAACTGCAACGTTTAGGTGAAGGCGAAGGCTGCATGACAAAAGAAGAGTTCAAGAAGATGAAAGCTGAACTCGAAGCTGAATATTTGGCGACTTTCAAGAAAACTGTTGCAATGCATGAAGTTTTCTTACAACGTCTTGCACAACATTCCGTTTTTCGAACAGATTCTCACTTGAAAGTCTTTCTTGAATATGATCAAGATTTATGTGCTAAGCCACGCAATACGAAATCTTTATTCGGTGGATTAGTACGAAATTTAAGTAAAACAACAGATGAACTTTATCTTGGAGCAACAGTTCGTGATGTCAATGACTTCTTTGAAAACGAGCTTCAGTTTTTAAATGAATATCACTCTCATCTTAAGGAAGGCGCTTCAAGAAGCGAGAGAATGGCGAAGAAACACAAGGAACTCGCTGATAGTTACATTAAAATATCATCAGGGCTCATTCAGCTTTCGACTATTGAACAAGGATCAATGGAGAAATTCTGTGCTAAGACAGCTGAAACATTTGAAAAGATGAGAGTGAGTAAATATATTTTGATGAATATTTAGATATTTTATTTTTCTTGTCATTCTAAGAATATGGAAGGAAGAGTTGCAAGTGATCAAGACTTGAAGTTAGTTGATACATTAAGGTATTATCAAAGAGATAGCAATGCAGCCAAAGCACTTCTTGTTCGACGATTAAGATGTCTTGCATCGTACGAAGCTGCAAATAGGAATTTGGAGAAAGCTCGTGCTAAAAATAAAGACGTTCATGCTGTAAGTATTTTATGTTCAGTTCTTCATTTATCATCAAGTTTATTATATTATTGCATTCTTTACACGCATAAGCCTTTGGAAGTTCAAGAAGTATAATCATTTTAATGCCTTTAAATTTAATTCTATTTTTGATAAACTTTCAATTGTTATTTATTTTAATTTCTTTTTTTTCTAAACAAGGCTGAAGATCTTCAAACGAAAGCATGCGAGAAGTTTGAATCTATGTCTGCACGTGGAAAAGAAGAATTAATATCATTCCGAAAGAGAAGAGTTAATGCATTCAAGAAGAGTCTTATTGAATTAGCTGAACTTGAAGTGAAACACGCAAAGACTCAGTATGATTACCTGAAGGTGTGCTTAGATGAAAACTTGCTTAAATTGCAAGAAATTTAAGCTTATAGCTCAGCAGCTCTTTGGATCAAAATCGAGTATCTAAATATTATCTAATTTTATTATCAATGTGTTTATTTTCTTTATTAATTGTATTAAATTCTTCCATTACAAGAACATTGCAATTTCTAAGAATTAATTAAATTTATGTCTATTTGCCGATGCTTATCCGTACAATTTATGAATGTTTATTCTTACTATTACATTATGTTTTCGATATTATTATATTATCACATCTATCCAGATTAGTCACATAATAAAAACATTAAATTTCATAAAATGAATAAAACCAAAAGATTCGTATATATTGAAAGAAATTTCATCTCAATGGCACTCACTCAATAATATCTGAAAAAAAACTAAACACAAAAGGTTGAAAAATCTCAATAACTTCACTTTCAATTAAAGAATTTTATTTTCGGTTAATTTTTAATCCATCAATCTACTCTTCTAAACAGAATTCCGGTTTGAAACCCAATTTCAGTTCACTCTGTCGTTCTAGAGAATGAAAAAATTTAATGATGCTCTGTTGGTTTCTTATCATCATCTGGATGAGGTTGTTCGTCATCGGTATGAGGAAAGAATGTAGGATTGTTAAGAGGATCCAAGGCGGCTTCAGGGAATGCGTCTTTGAAATCTTCCATGGTCATTTGATTGAATGGCAATAATGACTTCAAGTGTGCAATCGCCTTTTCATGTTCAGCAATACGAGTTTGGGAATCAGCGACAAACTGCTTAATTTGTTTGGTCACTTGTTCCTTTTGCTGATCAACTTGAGCTGACGTAGTATCCGCTGGATACGGAACCTTCATGGATTCGTATTGCTTCTGGAAACTGTCAACCATTCCGGCAATGGGAACCTTATTTTTGTACACCGCCCAGTCAATCTTTGGGGGAGCTTCTGGATTAGCGAGAACACTGACATGCAAATGAAAAACAAAATAGCATTGAAAAGTCAGAAAATTATTACTTAATCAAATTTTAACCACCTTCTCAAATATTTATCACTCTTCGATTTAAAAGCAATGAAATTAGTTTTCTGTGCAGGTGGAACACGTTCCGCAATTGCGGTCCAGTTAATAGAGGATTGAGCGATACGGCGAGCCATTTCAAGAAATTCTAGAAGGAGAAAATTAAATTCAAAATATTTTCTGAAAATTTTCTGCCTAAACTTACTAGTCGTTCACCCCTCGTTGTGTAATCTCAAAATTTTATACCCCCTATACCTGTACAGGTGAGCTGCGTACCCAACTTTGGGTGAATATTTCTTTGTTGTCTAATGTAAAAAATATTTAATATTTTATTTAAATTATTTATCATAAGTTCAATAGACATAAATAATGTTTAAAAAGAAACATCAATAGTAAGAGCACTCTTTGAAAATGAATATGTGCCAAAAGTGTTAAGTTCTCTATCATAAAATTTCAAATATACACGACTGAGTCATCATTTAACAGCAAGTACTCGAATATAAAAAAACAACTTCAAAAAGCTTGCACAACTAATTAGCGAAACCAAACGGGATTCTCACGAAAAGAAACAGAAAAAATGTCGCGAAACAAAGTTGTTCAACGTAGCACTATTAATCCATTTGAAAGCCTCATTAACATATTACCGTGCGATAGGCCCATCAAAAGTATACAATTGCTTGAGAATTACGAGGCATGCCCTGCTCACTTTATTCCTTTGCATAAGACATTGGATAGCGACAGTGATGCAGATCTTTTCAAGGAAAATATTTTATTTGGAAAGAGGCATACACGATATTTGTGTATATCCAAGACTGAAGGTCTTCCAAATTTCGTTTTAGAGAAGCTCAAAATTATCGGTACCAATGAACATCTTGCAAATGAAGGATTCATATCAATAAAAAACACCTCAGATACAAACCAAAAGGCTTGGAGAAAGAAGCAATTGGTCTATAAATTGTCAAAGACTGAAGTTGCTGCCGAATGCATCACTGACATAATTATTTTAACAAAGTTCAATCGTCAGATGATAACCGACGGTTTTCAATATTTAGGAGAACTAGAAAAAGTACACATCTGCTATAAAGTGGCTCCAGTGAAGCCTGAAATTTCCGATTTCACGGAACAAATTGAGAATCTCAAAATCAATTCAAATCTTTATCCTTCGGTGAGTATCAAAATAAATTTTTGCTTTTCTTCTCGATTTCTTTAACCTTGATCATATTGAAAATTTTTATTTATTCAGACTGAAGGTGATCATTATTATGAGTCATTACAAGCTTCTTATCAGTTACCCATATCACCGTCAAATCGTCCGGTTCCATTAAGAAAGGCTCCTTTACCGCCTACACCAACTACACCAATTGAGATAACAAACAATGCCAGCAACAATAGTAATACTGGAACATTATCTCATTATCACAATGACTTCATTGGTGTCCCGTGGGCAGTTTTGAATCCAAAATTGAAAACAACTGCTTTTGATTTGGATTTACCGAAATTCGTTGATAGATTTGATGCTCTCGAATATGATTTTCAATTGGAACGACAAATTCTTTGTACAACAAAAGGAGAAAATAGGAAATCATCTTCAACTAATCCATTTTTTTAAAAGCCATTTTTGTCCCTTACATGGCGTTATGAATGAGAAAAGAAGCAGCTGATTAAAAATAATATTGATCAAAACACTGAATTTTTTAAATATATTTATATTAGAAAATATCTAAGAAACTAACAAGGAGAAAATGAAAATTTATTACGTAGATCAAGACGTATCTTTTTTTAATATATTAAAGTAATAAATGTTTGCGAATACTGCCCCTTTAAGGTGTATGATATTTATAAGAAAGTAGCTATAAATAGATTTTTTTAAATCAAATCGATTTATTAGATATTAAAACAAAATGTATCGTTTAATTAACATAAAATGCAATTAAAATTTTAAGTAGCAAATAAAAAGTTTTAAAATAAAAGAAGAGTTAAAGTTTATAACGGAAGTTAAATATTCACATTTGTCCGGGTGAGAAAAGTTGTCCGGGTGAGAAAATTGTACACTCTCCACCTGAAACTAACTTTGGAGAGGCGAGTTTTAGGTAGAGAGTGTACATTTATCTCAGTAGTGAAGTCTTTTAAAAGAAAGTAAAATTCATTGTTTATAAAAAATACAATTTCAATAGAAGAAAAAAGAAAAATGATAATTTAAAATGTAAGTATGCTTTATTAAGGCATCTCTTATCATATTAATATTCGTTTTTGCAGGAAAAATTTGCTAGAAGTACCGAAAATTGAATTTTTTAATGATTTCTCGGTTTTTGATGGAAAATTTGATATCGGAAATAACTTCGACTCGATTACCCAAAAATTAAGAACTTTATCAGCATCGCTCCCGCAAGTGACATTACCTGAGACTGTTTCGTTATCATTAGAGTCGATAAAAAAATTAGAAGTTTACGCGTATTTTCTTAGAAGTCTTCAAAATCTTATTTTCTTGTTCAATACTATCAACTTCTTTAATATCAATCTTAATCTTAATCTCAATTTAACGACGCAAATTAACGCAACGATCAGCAACTTTTACTGTTTTCTAAACCAAATCATGGAAATTATAAACTTTAGCAATAAGAAAACTTGGGAAGAGTTGAAAATGGCAGTGAATGATATTCGAAAAAAGTTTTCATCACTTTCATGCTCAATTCCGTCGAATATTCACTTTCGTGAGCTTGCTGACGGAAGATTAAGGATTTACTTCCTGTGTGCTCAATCAAAATACGACACACTTCTCTATATTGATGTCAATCCAAATGAGGAAAAAGAACAGTCAATGTAAGTAACATTTTTGCAAATTTTTGAAAAGAAAACTTTATTTTTGGTGAAAGTTCTTGTTGCATAAATTTTTCATTAATGAATGAAAACACAAAATGAGGTCAATGGCGTACACTCAGGAAATTAATAATTTTTCTGTGTGTTTTATTAAATATTTTATTTGTTTCTGTTTTCTTTGTTGCAGTTTTCAATGGCATCCAGTTCTTGATGCATCAATTGGCTCAAACCTCACATCGCTTAATGCATCTCGTGAACTTCAATTATTGTTGGAACGTAAAAGATTGCCGGCATGGGGTATGAGCTCGTATGAGTTTCATAAGAAGAGTGGGAAAATTATTTTTCAAGCTTGCAACTCGCTTTACATGTGCTTGGATACCGGTTTCAATGTGAGTTATTTGTTAATTCATGATCTGGTTTTAACAACTATTATTAACAACAACAATTTCAACTTACTAACATTGATCTTTTTTTTATTTCATCATAAACAGACCACACCACTTTTTCCTACTGAACTTCGTACATGTCAAAGTCAAGACTGGTCGCCAATCGATCCGAAAATATCGCCACAAAACTCTGATCTCGTTGCTTATGTATGTGGGAATGACATTTATGTTAATCATTCAATAAGTGGACATGGAGAGAGATTAACACATGCACACGGTTCAAAACGCAATGATCCGTTAAGTGCGGGCGTACCCTCGTATGTGATGCAAGAGGAATTTAATCGTTATCAAGGCTTTTGGTGGCAGCCGAAAAGCACTGATGGAATTTATCGAATTTGCTACGAAGAGACTGACGAAAGTGACGTCAGCATCTTTTCCTTTCCCTCAGCTCACTCAATGGGAGGTGAAGAATATCGCTTCCCAAGAGCTGGCACACCAAATGCTAAAAGCACACTAAAAATGGTTGAATTTAGGTTGTCAGAGTCACTTCGCATCACGGATGTGTGTATAAAAGAATTACAAACTCCACTCAATTACTTATTTCCTTACATGGAATATATCGTAAGAATTGGTTGGACACCAGACTCAAATTATATTTGGACGCAACTTTTAAATCGTCAGCAACAAAAGCTTGAATTGATTCTCATTCCGGTTGAATGTTTCTGTTGTGAGCCCTACAATAGCAATCCATCATCACCCGAATCTGTATCAGAAAAACATATGTGGAAGTCATCGGTTGTTGATAAAACGTCGAAGCCCATTCAAATCATTTACACAGAGACATCGCAACAATGGATTAATGTTCATGATTTGTTGTATTTTCTCGAAATAACTGAGTCGCAAGTAGAATTTATTTGGGCATCAGAAGAGTCAGGTTACCGTCATTTGTATCATGTGACATCATCGTTGGAAGTGAGACCGCCACAAAATGGCTTTCGCACACATTCAGCATTCTGTGATGAGAATACAATTGATGACAATTTGAGAGCAAGAATTATAAAGAAGACGCCGTTGACGATGGGTGAGTGGGAAGTGTTGGGTAAAGATTTGTGGGTTGATCGACAAAGAAATCTAGTTTACTTCATGGGTTTGGCACATTCGCCACTCGAGAAGCATCTTTATGTGTTCAATCTCTCTTATCCCGATAAGAAGCGTCTGCTTACCACACCCGGCTCGACAAACTCTATCGAATTTAATGACAATTGTTCGATCCTTGTACGAACACATTCGAGTACAAATCAGTTACCATCGACTGAAATATTGCGAGTGAAGCAAAGATGTGAAGTTGGAAGTGTTGATGGCATTGATCTTTCACCACTTGGTTACATGATTGTTGGAAATTTTGACAATTCTGAGTTTACTCCGCTTATTTGTGACATAACAATTTCATCAGGCGAAACACTTTATGCACTTGTTTTTAAGTGAGTTTTTATTTTAAAAACTTTCCTTTTCATGATATTAACTTTTAATCATTTCTCACAGACCTCATAACTTCAAACCTGGAATGGTCTATCCGACAATTCTTAATGTTTATGGCGGTCCCGAAGTACAAACAGTTTCCAATAGCTTCAAAGGTATGCGACAACTTCGAATGCATATGTTGGCATCACAAGGATATTGCGTTGTTTGTATCGACTCAAGAGGTTCGAGACATCGTGGTGTGCAGTTTGAAAGTCATTTAAGACGTCGATTGGGAACAGTTGAACTCGCCGATCAGGTTGAAGTTTTCAGAATTTTATCGAAGCAACTCGGATACATTGATATGAATCGTGTCGCTATTCATGGTTGGTCGTATGGTGAGTCTTGACTTGTTTTTTATTTAAATTGAAATTATCTGAAACTGTTGTTATTAATTTTTCAGGCGGTTACTTAAGTTTAATGGGTTTGGTGCAATATCCGGACTTGTTTAAAGTTTCTATCGCCGGAGCGCCAGGTAAATTTTTTTCTTAATTATTTATTTCTCACTTATTTGACACTTTTTTAATTATTTATTTAGTCACAAGTTGGGAGTTTTACGACACTGGATATACAGAAAGATATATGGATTTGCCAGAAAATAACAGACAAGGATACTTTGCTGGTTCTGTTCTCAGTTACATAAATAAATTTCCTGATGAGTAAGTTTAGCAAACAAATATAATTTCAATTGTTTTTATCTTTTTTAATTAATTAATTTCAGAGCTAACAGATTACTTTTAATTCATGGATTAATTGATGAAAATGTCCACTTTTATCACACATCACAACTTATAAGTCAATTGATAAAAGCTAACAAGGTGACATTAATTTATTTTAATATTTAATTGTCTAATTTGTAACTCAATTAAAATATTTATTTCAGCCGTATACTCTTCAGATTTATCCTGGTGAAAGACATTCGTTAAGAAGCTTAGAGTCGTCAAAACATTACGAGACTTTCTTGTTGCAATTTTTGCAAGACAATTTATAAGAAGTTGCAAGAGAAGTTGTTTTGTTAATAGTTTTTGTTTGAGTGCCACTTGACATTGAAATGCATCATCATTAATCACATCGTTAAATGTCAGATGAACGGAATCAAGTGATGTTCAAATTAAAATATCACAGAGATTATTAAAAGTTTTTATTTGCCGCTCTTTCTTGCTTACTCAACTCATTTTTGCTGCAGTTTAATTAGAATAATAGTCAAGATGAAGTTCCTGAATCGATATATCCTCATTCAATAACAGGGTTCGTTATTTTCATTATTTTTTTGTTATAATGCTGTTGCTGTAGTGTATTACAACAGTTTTAACACCACAATGAACATTAACGGCGAACCCTTTTTTTTTCAAACCTCTACATTTAACTACTCTACCTCCCGTCTTGTTTTCTTAATCACGACACATGATTCTCCATTCAGACACTCACCAAATCAATGTTGCATTTGGCATGTTGACAAGAATCATGTAAATGTGAATATAAAAACAAGACGGTAGTTGAGAAAGATGAAGGCTTTCATAAATGATTCCGTTCGTCGTCAGCCCAACGTCCCAATGTCTTTCGACTGTTTTTTTTTCTTTGAGTTGTTGAGAAAAAATTAAATTATTTATAAGAAGAATATTTAGTAACAACTTTTTTTATTATTTCTATTTTGTATCAATTTCTTTTTCAATTGATTAATGTTCTTAAATAAACTAAATAAATTGATAAAATTAAAACTTATGAAAAGAATAAAAACTGGATGCAAATCTGTGTTAGCTAAATAACTTCAATTTTGTTTAATTGCCGCAATTTTAAGTACTGAGAATCAATCATCGTCTATTTTAGATGTCCCCATTGACCATAAAAGAGGATTATCTGTTGTAATGTTGACAACATTAGTTGTACAATCATAAGTATTACTTGTGCTTACAATCCCACCAAACTTCAATGTTTGATTTTTAAGATTCCATTTAAGTCCATTTGTTGAAACTTTCGTGGGTTCAAATGGAATAAGAGCGCACCAAAACTTTTTAACATTTTCCGGAATGTGAATCTCATGGTGGCCAGGGGCAAGTAACCATGAAAGGCTGTTTGCAGAAAATAAAAATATTGGAATTTGTTTATCCTTCGATTTTAGATTATTTTTAAAAAGTGTGTTAATGTTTGCTAAGATTTGATCCATACGACCTGACGTTTCACACAATACAATACTATTTTCTAAATTTAGCTCTTTTATAGACGGTTCAAGTACTCGAAGCGACTTTGTAAAATCTGTTTCATCTTGATCAACTGTTTTGATCACGCGACTTTTATTGAAAAAGGCAATACTTTCTGTACTACACGAGTCGAGGTCACCAGTAATGAAATTTGGATGTTTAAGCTTATCTTCTAAACTATGTTTTCTTATCCACGAAAGCCATCGATTTGTACCACCATCGACAGTAATTTTAAGAGATGCTACAAAAATGTAAACAAATTTATTATGACAAAAAACGACAATTTTGTGAATGATTCTCACCTTGACTCCATAAACATTCGACAACTTCTTTATTCGCGTTTATTGGACGATTTAAAACTATTACAGCATAATTTTTAACATTCTTAATCTTCTCTACACTTAAAAAATTACCAGGAAACCATTTCGTTGTCATATTTTACAACCACGCGCGAATTAAGTCAGTTGTCAGACGAATGTTTAAAACGGGGTGTACAAGTACATAAGCTACGTCAAAAGCTTTGTTTGTTTACAAACATTGAAAAAGTATTTTAAAGTTTGTTGTGCCTTTAAGAAATTAATTTATAAAATCCGATGTCTTCCTCCCAAATAATTCATCTTGATTTAGCCAGACTTCCTGTGAATCAAAAGGAAAATCTTTGCAAAATTCTCGATCAAAATGATTGCTGGGAAGAGCTTGGATTCCTAATGAAATTTAGTGAATTCGATATTGCTGTAAGACTTTCTTTTCAATTACGTTGTAGATTGAAATTTGATACCAAGGTATTTCATGACCTCGTTAATTTTAGAATGTAAAAACTGAAGCAATTCGTCTTAGACGTTCACCTTCTGGAGTTCTTCTCATGAAATGGGAGAGATACGCTCATAATGTGACTGAACTTTTTAAACTTTTAGCTGACATGCAACATTTTCAAGCAATGGAAGAAATTAAGGATTTAGTACATGTTAAATATCATGTATGGTTATCACCTACAAAGCCCCACCTTAGTCGGTTGCTTGCAGAAGAATCAAAAAAGCAATTAAATATGTCACCTCACGACCATAGTCAAATATTTAAAAACGCAAAAAAGAATTTGATGCAAGAAAATTCTCCAAAATCAGAATTCAAAGAGAATTTGAAAGAGTTGTTAAACATTCCAGAAATTCCAATAAAAGAGCTTGAAGATGCTACGAACAAATGGTCAGAGGAAAATGTTTTGGGAAAAGGAGGCTTCGGAGTTGTTTACAAAGGTGAATGGATATCAACAAAAGTTGCAATTAAAAAGCTTGAATATCGTGAAAGTCGATCTGGTTCATCAAAGGAACATTTAATTCAAAGCTTAAATGAATTACGACATTTGAATCATTGTCGACATGACAACATTCTTCCAGTTTATGGATATGCAATGAAAGATGAAACATGTCTGGTTGTATACCAACTTATGCCTGGCGGATCTTTGGAAGAAAGATTATCAAAAAGAAGTGGACATGAACCACTGACATGGCCACAAAGATGGATTGTGTCAAAAGGAACAGCAAGGTAAACTTTATTTTTCTTTATTTAGATCACTTCAGAACATAAAATTCTTATAAATTCTTGTCTGCATTCCTAATAAAACACTCAAATTAATCTTTCATATTAATTGATCTTGAGATATCATCAAAATAAGATGAAAGTCACGTTTGCAATTTCATATGCAAATTTCGCTTCTTTTTTACCTTCAGATTTTAACAATTTGAATGATTTTCTGAATATCTGCTTGTAGGTGTTAAACTCGTTGTCATTTAAAATTTAAAATGTAAAAGCAAATCTGCTGCAGATAGATTTATGACAGATTAATGAATAAAAGACTAATTTATTTGAAATGTTTTTACGACCTGATCTGCGACAAAAAGTTTAACCTTGAGACGATTCTTTTATGATGATTTTTCTCATTTGTCAATCCTAGGGGACTTCAATATTTACATAGATATAGCTCGAAGCCTTTAATTCATGGTGACATCAAACCTGCAAACATTCTTCTTGACACTTGCTGTGAGCCAAAGATTGGCGATTTCGGATTGTCACGTGAAGGCCATGTTGGTGATGAATGTCAGGAACTTAGCAGAGTTTTCGGAACTAAACCCTATTTACCTCAAGAATTCTTAACTAGAAATCTATTTTCAACTAAAGTTGACGTTTTCAGCTTCGGTGTTGTGTTATTTGAACTCGCAACTGGTCACAAAGCACATGACAAATTAAGAAAACACGTTTTCCTCTACGATTTAATGGCGAGAGTCGATGAATCGTCCATTGAAGTAATTAAGAATGTAATTGACAAAGTAACACCTAACGACGAAGCTTGTTTCAATCTCTGTAAACTGATGATCTATCTAGGAAAGAAATGTACTGATTGTAATCCTAACTTCCGACCTGAAATGATGAGCGTCTTGAAAGCTTTAGAAACTTTCGTTCCAGTTGTATCAACATAAATAATTTGTAGAAGAAAAATAACAAAATTTTGTATTTATTTTACATTTTCTTTTATTTGTTTTAATTCCAGGATTTGTTCAATGAAAAGGGAATAGACGAGGGAGTTAGGGTTTTAAGGTTTCATTATTGGCATGTTTTTTCTTAAATAAAATTAACATCAAATTGTTATCTTAATTCGATTTCTTTTTTTTTATTCTTGGAATCACATCAATTTTATCCGATAAATTTTTTTAGAAAAAAAAAGTTTTCCTGAAGTTCATTACAGTTTTTTTAGGCTTGCGAGATTTTTTTTTCTTTTATCAGATATTTTTTTTGTTTATAATAAGATATTAGATGAACTTGTGAAGGAATTGTTTTATTAATTAAGAGTTATAATATAAATTATTAGAAATAAAAAGAATAAAAAAAAGAGCTTTTAATTCATGTTATACTAAGTATTGTGAATGTAATTACCGGTCACGAATAAAGCATTGACAGTGTACGTTAGCTTCTGGAAACACTTTCAAGATCATCATCATCATCAGATCAAGGACAGGCACCTATAGGCCAATCCTGGCCTTATAGGAACCACCATCAAATGCCGAAGGCATTTGAGGGCAATGGTCATAAGTGGCACGTGAAAATGACAACATTACTCAATTTCATTGAAATTGTTTTTTGTGCTGACTATTCACTACCGACCGTTTTGCATCCACCCAAGGTCTTTCACTTTCAAGATAATTCACAAGATAAGTCTGAAAATGTTTCTCATTTCATTTATTTTTTTAAGATTAGTTTACATAAAGCTTTTGGCTAAGCGTAGAAATTTAAATGAAACCACTAAAGGTATCTTAATCTTCTTGAATTAAAATAAACAACATTCTTGTGAATCATCTTTTAAGTTTCAAACGCATATCAATTTCAGATGAATAAGAATGATTTCTTTGCCTTTTTTATATAGAAAATACATTTTGTCTTCATTTATATTCTCATTTTAAAAATTCTTCGCAGTTTGTGCATCTCATCTCAACACAAATTATTCAAAAGCTCATTTGAGCATTCATGAGACAGACGAGTTGAGTTTACTACTCAATTTGATTATTAACATTTAGATAAAACTTTTTTAGGCTTCATTAGTATTTTATTTAATGATTTTGTTGGTTTGTTTTGCTAATTATGCAGCTTTCTTCTTATCGACATTTGTTAAACATTTGAATAATAAATTGTTTTGGAAATTCGTTCATAAATATCTCAAACAATAGAAAAGACGTAAAAGAATTCAAAAATATCCACAATATCTGAATAATAATTAAAGAAGTTAAGATCACCTGACCATAAAAATTCATTCATAAAAGCTCTTCTCTTAAAATCTAAACAATTAACAACTTTCCGCAAATAACTTTCGTGTCTGTTCTGTATGTTTACTTGATTCAGTTGTACATTGTATTGTGAGGCATTTCAATTGAGGTTTTCAGCTCTTTAAATGCTCTAATCAAAATCTTTAAGAAATTATTTCATTTCTTCTGCAATTCCTTTTCTATAAATTTCATCATTTTGTACTTGTGACTTTACTTTAATGCATCATCACATGTTTTTCATTCTTTCTTTTTCTCTTTTTTCTTGATAATTAACTTTGAATATATTTTTGTTTTCCTTTTTATTTTTTTTTAAGGAAAGAAAAGGAAATTAAGATGCTCGAAAATCGTTACAAAAAAGGAAGGAAATTTGTCCAAGTCCGCATTATTCAAATGATTTGTAATCGAAAAATTTATTTTTCTCATCATTCAGCATCATAACTTGACTGAAAGATTTGTCCTTATTTGGAGCGTGGGTGGATACATACGAGTATTTTTCATTAACTTTTCTTCTTCATTTCTTAATTAATTATCTTTTTCTTCTTTTTCATCAATTTATGATGGCCACGATTTTCCTTTTCTCTTATATGACTACATTGATATTTTTTTATGTTTTTTTCTTCTTCTTATTCATTGGACAATAAATTTAAATTCTCTCGCTAAATATTTCATTCTTTTCTTTTCGTTTTCAAACTAGCAGCAGATTTCTGATGCAACTTAATTTTAGTACAAAAACAATTATAAATTCTCATTACGACGATTCCTCAAGAATCCTCACTTCGGTGTGTTGTCTGATGGCGTCCAACGGTCAAATTCTATGCCAGAATCAGGCGAAACTCCTGTACCAGGTCCAAGCAAGTAATCTTGCTGCATACACTTACAATCTACCTCATTACATGCACATGAATATTTCACATGACGTGATAAATACCGCGATCGATGATCTCTGATTGATGATGCTGATGAGGTGGCTGATGATGGCGTGTTACTGTTTGGATCATAAGTTGATGGTGTGCTTGATGACGACGATGCTGAAGGCGTGGGCCGTCGATTTGGATCATTTTTCAATTGACGTTCGAATGTGTGAAGTTGTTCCATGAAATGGAAATTTGGAGAGACATCAGGTTTACGTGCCCGCACAAATGTAAATGCATCATTCAGTCCCAAGGCTTTTGCGAACATCAGATAAGCGAGTGTTATGGTAACCGACTAGTTTATTAGATAAATGAAGTAGGAAGAAGGAAAAATTGTTGATTAATAAAACAAATTCAAATAAACATTTCTTGTTATTGTTAAAACTTACTCTCGATACACCAGCTAAGCAATGCACTAAACATGAAACATTCTTCGACTTTGCCTCTTCAATAAACTTAATGGCTGATGGAAAATGAACGCTCAAGTCTTGTGACCAATGATCTGTGATTGGTATTTGAAGATATTCTATCTTGCCAGTATCTTGAAAGACATTTGGGAGTGTTGACACATTTAAGATGTAGCGAATATTATATTTTTGTATCTTTGTGATGTCTTCACTGTGCGCTGCATTACCGAGAAAAAGTCCCGGAAGAATTTCAATTGGTTCACCACCATAAGGTTCCAGAGGATAATTGGAAGCACTTTCACCATCTGATGACTCCGTTGAGCTGCTACAAGCTGAATCCGATAACGGTGTAGAAATACGAAGTGATCTGTAATTGAAAAAAGAATTTACATGGCGTGACTAAATAAATAAATAAATAATTTGACATGTTAACAAATTTTAATTTAATTTAATTTTCTTTTGTAAAACTTGTTCATGAATGAAATTTTTTTTTTTTCTTTTTATTCTGTTCAAAAACAGCCGCAACATAAATAAGTCGGTTTTGCTGTTGCATGATTCGTGACCATTGCAAAATGTAACCGTTTTTGTGTTGTTATTTCCCTTTTCACATCATACTTATTTAGTTCTCGTGGGCAGACCGGAATTTCTCAAGCCTCTCTCTACATCCATTCACTCAGTTTCATTCAATAAAACAACAAAATAAATATTCGAGTGAAGCACAAGAAGGATGAGAAGAAGTAAAAATAAAAATTGTTGTCATGAGAAATTCCAAACAAGCAACAACAATGGAACATTCACCATCTAAGATGGAATTATTAATTCTTTCAGTTCGGCTTCATCCGTTTCTCTTTGTCGCATCGTATCGTAAATAAAGAAGAAGGAATGAGTAAATCATTGATAAATTGTTTTGTAATTCCGCCGGATACCTTCCGAATCGGATTTTATGTACGTACAAAGCGGATATTCTTGTCTTTTAAGCCAATGTGTAAGTTCCGGTTGTATTTCTTTCTAAAAACAACCAGTTATTTATTTATTACGTTTTAGAAGAAGTCGAAAGCCTAGAACTGTAACAGAATGTTTAGAAAAGAAAAGTTTGTAACAAAAACTCGAGGAAAGTCAAAAATAGAATCCAAGCAACACCCACACTAAAGTTTTATGAAAACTGAATATGTTTCCACAAGCTTTTTTCGCACAGCCCGCTCTCTTAGGGATGTTGGCAATGAAAATTTAAACAAAGACAAGAAACAAAAAAGAAAAACATTCTATTCTTGGATCTATCATCTCGTATTTATAATGTTTAAGATGAATTCTTGTCGACCCCCACACGAACATTCTCATAATTGATGTAATTTGATGAATTCTCTGTGGAGGTAGAAAAGCTTTCCTTCAACATTCTTTTGCATAACAACATTTCTATGCTTTTTTCTCATTTCACAAACTTAAGTGAAAGTGAATAAAAAAATGGAGCCTTTTTACTTCTTCTACTTACAACCATAGACAACCACGCACAAAACCAAAAAATCAAGAGGAAAATGTTTGAAGGATAGAAAGAGAAAGAAAATGTTTCCTTTCTATTCATAAAATTATCGCCCACGTTCACTTATACATTCATAACCGACTTTCATTCATTCAATTTTTCTTCTCTCCCCCACATAAGCTCGTGAAAAGCTCCAAGAAAATCGTTGATAAATACATTTTTTCTTGGAATCTCTTAGAAAGCTAAAAGATAACTTTTGAATGGAAATTACTTCATAACACGGTAAGTATCAAAATAAATGTGGACGTTATCAATGCTATGGCAAAAGAAAACTAAACAGATCAAAAATACTATAATTAGAAGTCTCAATGGAATGGCGCATATTTGCGCCCACATTTTCATTTTATATCTCTGGGCTATCGTTAACATTACATGAATGATACGATATCTAACAAATTTGTTGTCAACTGAATGACTAAAACAAAAACAATGTTTTCCATGGATAACGATCTCATGACGCTCTTCATGTTTAACAAACTCTAGGACAAAGCTTTATGAATCAATCATTCGCCCATCATCAATACAGCAAACCACCTACACTCAAAAATCGAGCAAATTTTAATTCAGTAGAGGAGAATTTCATTTGTTTCTTCTTCTTTTTTAGACGAACACGAGTATATCATCAATCTCGTTTCAGTCTTTCTTTTTTTTTGTTTTTTCATGAATGGAAACGGGTAAACAACTAACTATGTACAATCCATAGATTCAATGAATGTGTAAAGTTCCATGATGATATTTCTTTGTATAAAAATATTTGCGTGGGTGTGCAAAATGAATAAACGAACGGACGGCTAGTTATTACTGGAATGCCACATTAATGTTGTGTAGTAAAGTAAAATAAAGTAATCCAACTGGCTTGTCGTCTCGTAATACCCACAATGAAAACTCCATGACATGAGTCATTCCATCAAAGTTATTCAAAAAGAAAAAAAGAGAAAAAAAGTTTTACCGATGCGTGGGCTTTGCGAAAATATTTTTCTTCTTGTTGTGCTGTTATCAGACAGCAAAACGTTTTGCTTTGTATGACGTAATATACTTACGAAAGCAAAATGGGAAGATTACAGCAGTTTGAGAGTGAGTGAATGTGTGACTCAATTCTAAGCCGAAAGCGAAGGTGATTGCGAATTTTCTTCAACGAAAATGCTATTAACAGACTGTATCGACATATTTCAAATCAAAACGAGACACCTACGCACTCACATCGAGTCGTCTTATCAAAGCCTTGAAATTATACAATATATAGCAAGCTAACTCAAATAGCTTCTTTTTCGCGTGCAATTTTCCATCTGATTGAATAAAGGCGATGATGATGATGGAAGCAAAAGAAATAAAAGAGTTTACATTCCAATCGATTTTTCATTTCTTGTCGACTTCTCGTCTAAAGGTCATCAGTTACTTACGATATGGCGTCATAAAATCAAACGTAAAAGCATAAATATGAAGAAGAAAAATCTTACCTCAATCCCATCAACTGTTCAGTTGAGTTCGATTGCATGTTGTTTGTGCGTTCGTCTTCGCACCATTCAGGAAATGATGATTGGAAATTTGGGAAGCCATCTATAAAGAAAGAAAGAAGAATGAGAATTAATGTAAAGTCGTTTTCTTTTCTAAGCTTAAATGTTAATGAGCAATGAAAATATGGCAAGCATAGTAGATATGAATGTTTTTCGCAAAGTAATGACGTCGTCATTTTAGTCGTCGTCGACTTCGTCGTCATCATCCGCTCGCTTTCATTCTCAGATGTTATTAACTAAGTTTTTATATCATGTTGAAACGCGAAAGGAAGCAACGATGAACTTTCAAAAAATTATCTTTGTAACATTAAAAAGCGTCGAATAAATGGATGGAAGTAAGTGACGTCATGAATGTTGGTTGGTACGGTTGGTAAAAAACTTTTTAGCGCGAATGGAAAGGGGAATGAAATTTGCGTGCGGGCGAGGGCTTTTTGATATAACAATATCGTAGCTTTGCCATACAAATAAAGCGTTCATTGTGCGTTTTTAAGGATAATTGGAATTGAAGAAAGAAGAAGATAAAAGAGCTTTCTCTGGGAAGCAAGGAGAAGAGAAAAAAAAAGTAATTCAACAAACGCGTTTGGGAGGATTGAAGTGCTTATTCATTAAAAATCCAAAAGCATATGAAGGTTGATGGAAAATCCCTTTCAATGAATTCATCATCAGATCCAACAAATTTGAATGAAATGTTAGCAAAATTCTCTCTCCTTCTCTCTCGTTTTTTCAACGTATGACTGATTGATAGGTTCAGTAAAAGCGAACAAATACCACCTACACATACACACACAGGTTTATAACAACAATGGTGACATAACCCATACAGTCAACAGTTTCTGCTGCCCGGTTTCATTCATTCAATATTTATTCCATTCAACGTTTTTTTTCTTTCTTCTTTCCTCTTCTTTCGCTTCGCTACAAAGTAAGCTCATGAAATAGAGCGAGATAGAAACATTTTCTTCAATGTGGCTTTTGCAAAATCAATTGACTAAGTTCTGCTTTCGTGCTATAGTAAATTTCTTCTAGATATGGGAAAAAAGAAGTCGAATGGAATGATTTACATATAACACATTTGCAATTCAAATTCCGTGCCTCTGAATGGCATCATCAACATCACATTCATTCATGAATGAATAGAAAAATGGAATTTAATTGCTTTTGGTGTAGTGTTGGTATCGCATTCTCATCACAGAATGAATGTCTCTTTGATTTTTATAGAATTTACAATAAATATCGTATTTTAATGCATTATTTCTTTTTCTGTCATGACTTTACTCACAACAATTTCAATTATGTATTGATGAAATACAGAACCAATTATCAATCTTGTTCCATGTATCTAATAACATAAAAATTAAAGGAAACGGACAAAAACTTGTTGAAAATAAATAATAAAACATATAACTGAAATCGGAAAAACGAGACCTTCGTACAGGAAATTCAAGTGCGAGTGAGATGGAGCAACTTAAACGAATAAATATGTGAAGAGATAATCCAGGGATGAAAGGAATGTCAAAATGAAAGAGAAGAACAGAAAAACATCATCATCAGCAATGATCATGAATCAAGGTCATTAGAAGCGGTTTTCTACCTGAGATGATGAAACAAGCAAGATTTACGAAGAAAAAAATAGTCGTTAAGAGAAAGGAAAGCATTGTACGCTTTAAAGCCCTGCATCATTTTGGATCCCAAGAAAAATGAATGAAACGCCCACGCACACCGCTATGAGAAATCACTCGCACACCAACACTATTTTCAAACAAGCATTCAGTAGAAATTTGATTTTTTTTTCTTTCCTCCATTAATTAAATATTTTCTCTATCTCGCTCCCCTTTTCAAGTCTTTTTGTTTTTTGTTTCTTTCACATCTTTCAACATACAGCGGCTGGCTTTAATAATGAAGCCAATTTTCCCCCCATTGTATGCTGATGTAATTGAGCCATAAATTTTGTGATAGATATGAGAAAAACTCTCATTTAGCGCAAAACTTTTTTTTATGAATGAAAAAGCAGATTCTTTTCAAAGATGATAATTTGCCATGAATGATGAAAAATGTTGAAGGAAAGAGCTGGGACGGTCAAAAAACTACTTACCAGCTAAGCATGCAACACGGATCTTCTTATCATTGAATTCAGCCATGAGTTTTCTTGAGAGAATCTGAATGATATCGGGACTTGATTGTGCAGGACTATTATGATATAACACGAAAAGTGTTTGAATATCCATGCCGAGAAGACGATTCTTCAGATCCTTGCACTTTATTGTACTAAACAAATCAATTTTCCCTTCTTTCAGTCGTCGTAACATAATTGTAGGAATAGAAATGTTTGCTGACTGCTTGATGTGACTTGAGGCGTAGTCATTTGCACTCCGACAATCCAAAATGATGATCTCTTTCTTGTTAGGGCTGTTGCTATTGCAACTTCGCAGTTCAGAAATGAGACAATTCTTGTCGATGAGTTCAATCTCCGTATCAGGCATGATTGATTTAAAATATTATTTTATTCACACTTCACTTTATGGCCACAATAATAAATTTACAAAAAAAATGATGCACAAAATTTCATTTAGTTCTTACAGAATCTTTTCCTCTTTTTTCTCTCTTACAAGTCATAAATTTTAATTAATTGAGTTTTTTCCCACTCAATGCTTTTATTCCATCACAAAATGATCAATGTTCATTTGTAGCTTATGATTCACACTAATTAAATGTCACTGTGAACGACTTTAAACTTAAAATCGAATAATAATGACAAACGCGAGCTTTGTGCGATGTTACTCTCAATAAAGTCGACACACGAATGAAGTTGAAGTTGATGACCAGTAAAGTCAGTTTCAGGTGGAGAGTGTGGAATTACTTGCACGGAGAAAATTTCTCGCACAGATCTGTGTTTTGTATATGGAAGGTCAAATCCACGCAAGTCGAATTCATTCGGATTCGGCCGGGCAGTTGATTTTTGTGGAGACTTCAACTTCTTTGTTTCGTTAAGTTTCAGCTGCTTGAATGGGAAGGCGGGAAAAAACGTTAAGCATCAGGTAAATTTTCTTTCATATCGACAATCATTGATTCGAGGGCATCGGGACGACGGTATTCAGGTTTAAAACATTTTGAATTTTTATGACCGAATTGAATGGTTGTAACTCTCTGAGGAGCTGCTTCCTTAGGAGATTTTGTTGATGAAGAAGGTGGACTAGGGTCACCTGAATTTTCACTTAATTCCATTAACTCATTACTTGGTGAATTCTTTCGAACGCTTTTTGTATTATCAAATCGGAAGTTATGTGGAAATTTATGAAACTTTATACAATGATCTCGACGTTCTTCAGGATTCATAAATAAAAGTTTGCATTCTTGTAAAAAGCATGCATACTGAAATAAATTAACATAGATTAAGATTGTATCGAGGCAAATATAAGAACATTTGACTCACCATAGGCTTTTTCTCTCTTTGAACTTCAAAATATGTGTCATGTGTTTCAACAACGTGAAGCTCTAACATATGAGATGAATTCTCCTTTTTTTTACATACTGAGCAAACAAATAAAGACGAACCATCTTTATTATCAATGTCAAGTGATTCTGAGTCTGAATTGCTCACAAGAATTCCCAAGCGCTCAAAAGGAATGAAATTCACTTCACTTGGTGGCTCTTGTGATAATCTTATCAGAATTTCTTTAAGGCTTGTTTTCGAATAATGATCCATTGAAAATATTTATCGTCTTGGACGAGACTATCACAGCGTTTTAATAAGAATATTTCTAATTCAACTCACCAAAACGAATGAATAAGTAACTTAACGAAAAATTACCAGCGCAGTCGAAACACAACGAAACCGTAAAACTTCGAGTGAAATCTTTTGTCGAACAGAGAAAATTCTGGTAAAAATATTATTTTATCTAATTATTTAGTTATTTCTTCTTAAAAAAACATTTCAATACCTAATTAAATTCAAATTAAATATCTCTAAAAATGTGGGTATTTAATAAACGTGAATATCGTAAAGAATTAGTGAAAAAGCAACTTTTGATTCATTACCTAATCACATCCAGCAATGTCTTCAGAAAGGATAATTAATAATTTCTTTATTTTAGGCTTTAAAACAGCATCAAAATGGGAGGCCACTTCGGAGAATTAGCCAAAGTCAATGGTATTGTCATCCATAAAATCTCGCCATTCGAGCAGAAAGCCTTCGCAGGCTTTATTTCAAAAGGAGTTCCAAACACTTTCCGTCGATTCAGATCACAAGTCTTTAGAGTCGCCCCACGTAAATATGAAATAGTAGCATAATCATTTAATAGAAAACTAACAATTTCTTTTAATTTAAGCTTTCATTGTTGGATATTTAGTCTATGATTATGTTGAGAATTTACACGCTTCATACTTGCGTAAAAATCCAGCTGACTTCGAAAATGACGAGTAAATTAATCAAATTTGTTCTTTAAATTTAATCTGGAAATATGTAGAAAATAAAGATGGAAGTTTTCCTCTTAAAATAAGATGGAAAAGTGTTGAAAATTTCATTTGTATTTCATCTGTTGCCGCATAAAATTCCAGTTTATGTTGCTTAGAAAATTCTTTTTATTGAAATTTTCCTTCCGAGACGCTAGGAAGATACAATTCTTTATACAATTACAACTTTTTTACTTTTATGTTTTCCTTACTTTATTCACAATCATTTTAAATGAATTTCTAAAACATGACATCTTGCAAAAATATCAAATTTCTCGACATGATCCACAACTGTGACTTGTTTACTTTTCAGTGGTAGCACATTATCAATTTTTTATCAGTCAAGAGATGGTCTCTTTAAACTATCTTGTCGTCATCATCAACGCAGGTGTATTAACATTAAATTTATTTTTCGCTGACAATATCAGTCATCAGTTTTTGAAAGTTACAATTCTATTTTTTTTCTGTACTTCTTTTTGAGGAACTTAAATGTCTTCATCAAAAATCGTTACTGAAAAGATGTCTTTCGACTGCCAATGATTAGAAAATTTAAATAGATGAGGAAACTCTAGTTAGGTAGCCTCTTGAATGTGGATTTGTAGGTGACAACATTCCTTTAGCTTTATTCTTTGTTTCATCTTTTTCATTCTTGATCATTAATCTATTTATCAACAAAGTGAAACTATAAATGTAGTTAAAGCATAAACATTTTAACGATAGTAATAATACACACAAAAAAGATTGATGAAATATTAAAATAGAATTGAAAAAAAAATATAAATGGATAGAATTCAGTTCATAAATTGTATTTTGCTGAAGAATCTATTTAAGTGTCGTGGGAATCAACAAAGTGCACATTTATGAAAAATAAAAATATGAAATTAAAGATCAGCACAGTTAATTAGTTTAAGATGAAGAATTTTTTTAATATCACATTTTATCTCATCGTCTTTAACTTTGCGTTTTTCTTTCTGGTTATTTATTCTATGTATTTAAATCAAGTTCTCAGAGTCTTGGGTGATTCTTTTTTCATACTATTTACGATGTAAACTAGAGCAGAAATTTTCAGTTTCAGTTAACGACCACTATTCTAATCTTTTATAATATGCCAACTAAATCATCTTTTAATTTTAATACATTTAAAATAATAAAAAAAAATAATTGAAATAATAATAATCTCAGATGATCAACAGTTTTGGGGCAATTATTCATCTTTTTGACACATAAACATGCTATTGGAATGCTATTTTATCAACTTTTACCACATAATATTTACAATCGCTTTCATTGCATATTTAACCGAAATCATCAGCAGTAGAATAAATTATTTTAAACAATTTACAATTTGTGAATTAAAAAAAAAGAAAATTAAACGTTAATCTTTGTTTCAACTTCTCCTGGATGAATTTATGTAGTGAAATTATGATACAGTCAATTATGCACTGCAATGAGGTTTTTTTCTATTTCTTCACTCATTTCATACTTGCAATCATCACAAGCTTAAAATGTTCAAGGAAGAAAATCTTACAATCAATAAAGTCAATATTTCTTTAGTATTTTTATATTTAAAAGGAAAAACTTAATATTTAATTAAAAAATAATAATAGATAGATAGATATGTAATAATAAAATATCAAACCGTGTCACAACTTATTTAATAATCTTTGACAAATTAAAAAAAACTATAATTCCTTTTCCTGTTTTTCTTCTTTTTTGTGTTAATTTTTCATTTCGCTAATCAAACAAAACATTTAAAGCGACGATTTTCATTTAGACAAAGTCAATTTTCAAACGTTTGAGTTCCAATTAATCTCATGCAATCACTAGCGGCTCATCGTCTTCAAAACGTGGAGGAACTTCTTGATGGTCTTCATCCTCCATAACATCACCAATTCGGGTTGCGCCCGTTTTTGTGTCGTAGTGAGAATTTGCAAAACGACTAAATGAATTTTTCAGTCGTCGATTACGTTGTATGAGGAACATTACGGTGCCACCGAGTGCAGCAATGACTATAAGTGTAAATATGAAAAGCCAAGCACCACCAGATGAACTTGTCACAGTTGACGAAAATGCATCAGGTTGGACTTCAAAGATATCAAATTCACCAACCTCTGAATAAAGACCCTGAATAAAGACATAAATTTTAATTCTTTCGCAATTTCTTATTAAAAACTTTAAAATTCACAAACCTGTTTCGTCTTTATTCTTACACCAACATTAAAAACTTGACCAGCAGACAAAGCTCCGCCAAGATGACTTGGATGGACTAATATTGGAGGAGTGTCTGATTCAAGTATGACAATGGGTTTGTTGTCACGTTCTTCGCGTGTTCCTGCTCCAGGACGAACGACAGCTTGATAAGTGAACCTACACAAATAAAAGAGTGAGTCAAGATCAAAACCATTTAATTAGTTAAACTTACTTTTCACTCTTCAAGTCTTTAACTTCTTTCCAGAATACCACAACTGAGCCATTCTTCTCAGGGTAAATTGCCATCAATTTTGGCTTTGGAAGTGGCGTTGATGAAACAGTAATGTTGGCTGGTTTTGAGCCTTTTGCAGTTGTTGCGACACTAATCTCATATCTAGCGCCTCTCGGTATACCATGGAAAGTGTGCACCAATGTAGAGTTTGAACTTGAATTAACGATAACATGAGCTGTTTGATTCAACACAACTTCACGCATTGTAACCTGAGGAAAGAAAAGAATTCATTACGAAATTTCTATCACAACATTAATTAACTTACGACATAATTTGGGTAATTTTGATTCTTAAGTGAACAACTGTGTTCCCATGAGATGTCCATAGATTGACGTTCATCGTCAAATGAAACTGTAAGATGAAGTGGTGCTTTCAATTCACTGTAATGTGTCTCAATATGTCTTGGATTCTTTGCTAGTGGACCGGGTCCTGTTGGTCCAACAATTCCAACACCAATCAAATAAGATGTGCACAGATTCAAATGTGTAAGCAAGAAGCTGCTGTCTTGTGTTTTAAATTTAGGAAGATCAAAGAGCTCTTCCAAATTTGTGCCATAATAAATTCCATAAGTAAACTTCTTATTTCCTTCTTGCGGAACTTTTTTCCACGTTAATTTGATGTAATCGCCTTCACGTTTTGTTTCAATTGCTTGAACTTCAGGAAGTGGTGTTCCATTTCGTTTCAATATTAAAGATTGAGAACGTCCAGTGTAGTTCTTGACATAAGCAGATACACGTGCAACATATTGAGCTCCATTTACGAGATTTTGTATTTTTACTGAAGTATTTTGAGTTTTCACTGGTTCAACTTTTGGATAAGGATGTGGGAGTACAAGTTGAACAATATATCCTTCAGCCTTTTTAATCTTCTTCCACGATAATGTCATGCTTGTGTCATCCATATCGACAAGCGTCAGTCCATCAATTTGATCAATATTTGAAGTTCCATCAAATGTCAATTGAACAAGTTTTGATGACATCGATTCTTGTTTACGATTTCGTGCTTTCACCCAAATCTCATAAGTTACATTACCTTGGAAATCCCACTCAATGATGAGAGAAAGCTCAGATGCGCTAACGCGATTTGTATGAACATTCGCATTACTTTGTAATTGTTTACGATAATAAACTGTATATCCTTCTAAATGACCATTTGCTTTCAATGGGGCTGTCCAACTGACTTGTACACGAGATCCGTTGATTTGGACAGCTTCAACATTTATTGGTTCAGTTGGAACTGTAATAGAAAATAATGAAATAAATTAATTGAGATAAAAGTAATGATCTGAGAGACTTTTTAATTGAAAAGCTTTAATGAAAAGCTTTATAATGAGAACAGTCAGAGCTTTTTATCAAGCTTGTTACCCCTATGGTTTTTCAAATCTTTTTAATGTCCTTTAATGACATAACGTAACTTTAAATTAAATCACGAAGTATGGATTTATAAGTCATTTGAGAAAGATCTTTAAAATTGCTTAAAAATCCATAAGCCATTTCATGAAACATTTCGTTTGCTTACCTCCTTCAGCTGTTGCGACTTCGTAATGCAAATACGGAACAAATTCTTTTTTAGATCCTTTGATCCGTACATAAACCGTAACGTTGTAGAGAGTAAATGCTTCAAGATGATTGAACCGATATTCAGTGGATTCAATCCACTCAGTATTATTCTTCCAAACGCCTTTACTGAAGATTGATGGCAAATACTCGAAAGTCATATTTTGTGGCACAGCAATCCACCAATAGATTAAGAAGCTTGTCGCATTCAAAGTTCTTTCGTTGACACCAATCGAGACGACTTGATAGATTCGTTGTTTATTATCGCAATCTTCTTCGTCTTTTCCATTCATACAGTCACGTGCACCATCACAAATTTTCATGAGAGGGAAACAAGTATCGTCACAGAAGAAAAGTCCTGGCTTTGTGCTGCAATCATTGTTTGGAATATTTGTTGCATTTGTTTTAAAATGACAATCTTCATCACTGCCATCTGCACAATGTTTAATACCGTCACAATATTTACTCATTGGCATACAATTACCGTCACTACGACAACGGAATTCATTTGCGCCACATGATGCGCGATTTGCTGGGCAATTTTCTTCGTCTTCACCTTTACAAATGAGAAAAATAAGAGTAAGAATGATGAAAATGAACATCTTAAGTAAAAAGAATTTCTTACCTTTTCCACAATCAGCAAAACCATCGCAAACATATCGTCGTGAAATACAAACTCCAGTATCACACCGGAATTCATGTTGACCACATTTTGGTGGTTTTGGAGGTTCCGTGGGAAGTGTCGTCGTTGAGTTTTCATCTTTTCCACAACCTCTTTCGTCACTTCCATCATTACAATCATTCACTGAATCGCATTTCCACCAATAGGGAATGCATTTATTGTTAGCACATTTAAACATCCAATCTTGACAATTATTGATATCGAAATTAATTGGAGTTTTCTTGTTTGCTGTATCTGTTGTTGTAGTGCAATTAGCTTCATCAGATTTATCAGCACAATCTGGTTCACCATCTTATAATTTGAGAAAATAAGAAATAAGAATTAAGAATGTTTAAAAATAAATTACAATTTAATTAAACTAACCACAAGTCCAAGTCTTGTAAATGCATTTTCCATCGCCACAAGAAAACATCCACGGGTCACATGTTGTGTTCCGATTACAATCTAATTCATCAGAATTATCTGGACAGTCATTATCAGAATCACAACGCCATTGTAATGGAATACAAGCGCCAGTTGATGCACAACGGAATTCTTCATCCTTGCACGTAACTTGTGTTTGATTCTTTAAACCACAATTTCTCTCGTCACTTCCATCACGACAATCATTTTCTTTATCGCAAACCCACTTCTTTGAAATGCAACGCTTATTATCGCAAGTGAATTCATTTTCTTTACATTTAGTAGCTTTACAAGCGATTTCATCCGATCCGTCGTTGCAATCTTTCTCATAATCGCAAACAAAATATTCAGGAATGCATTGTTGATCAGTTATGCATGTAAACATATGTGGTGGACATGCTGGCTTATTACTTGCACATCCAATCTCATCCGATCTGTCACCGCAATCATCTTCGCCATCACATCGATACGTCATGGGAACGCAAAGTTTGTTGGAACATGAGAAGAATCCTGGAGCGCACGTGTTGGCACTTTGAGCACAAGAATTGTTTGTGAATGGTTTCTGATCGTCAGGACATAAGCAATGATAACCATCCGATGCTAAATGCATTCCATCAGGACACAAACATTTGAAAGTCTTCTTCGGTGCTCCAACACAAAAGTGTGAACATTTTTCATTGTTGGTACAAGCATTTGAACCTTCTTGAATTGAATGTGCAAAGATTTTCAAGTCCATGAGATTAAGCATGTCTTCAGCAACAGTTCGAATCATAATTCCATGATCCTTGTCAGCTGAGAAGACTGAATTCATTTTCCAATCATCCCAATAAAGTGTTGATTTGTGCACAGCGACTGCGAATGGATGTTCAACGCGAGTATCTGAATGAAGAATCTTTTTGAATCCTTTGCCATTGAGATCGGAACTTGCGATGTAATCTTTACTAGCATCAACCCAATAAATTCTCTCAGCAATGAAATCAACTGTGATGCCATTCGGCCAGAAAACTTCTGGATGTGTAAAAAGTTCACGACGATCTTCACCGTCTAAATTAGCTCGTGAAATTGAAGGGTTGAAAGCATTCCAATCAGTGAAGAAGAGATAACCAGCCATGGGATGAACAGCAATGCCACGAGGCTTCGCTAATTTTGATGCTGGAATTACTGTTCGTCTCATTTTACCATATGGATGTGATGACACTTTGACTGCTTCAATCTTTAATCTCATTCCATCAACAAAGTACAACATTTGACTAATCCAATCGTAACTCATCCCTTCAACCGATGCTAAACCTGTTTCAACGAGAATTTCCGGTAATTCAGTTCCATTCAAACATTGACGACCAATAACGTCAGTCATTATATCAGCCCAGAACACACAATTGTTGGCCAAATCAAAATCAATTGCGATGACGTTTTTAAGTCCCGTAACCGGAAATATTTCCTTCACACCATCAACAAGATTAATTTTTGAAATTCGATCACGTTGTGCAACGACGAGAAATTCGCCAGTTGATTTAAATGGACATGGAATTGATTGCGGTTCATAAAGTGAAGAGAATCCATCGACACACTCATCGCCTTCAATTTTACGATAACCTTTTGTGCGATTATAAAATTGACCAGGTTTACAATTACCAGGAATAGCAAAAGGATCAAAATTTGTCAATGTTCTATTTCTGATGCAACCTGAGCTTGTTGTTGATCGACTAAATCCAGCATCGCACTCATAATCCCAACTTGAACATGTGCATATCTCTTGACTAACTGGACGAACGTAATCTTTACCATTATGACAATTTGCATGTGCTTTTCGTCTTTGATATGTATCTTGACGTCCCAAAATGCACGGCATAAAACTGTCGCCATTATGAGACTTTGGAACCCAAAACTTGTAATCATCTTCAGTACAATTTGTGGTGAAAGCATTTCTCAAATCAATTTTAATTATCAACCAACGATGCTCTGATACTTCCGAACCAAACAATGTGAAAATTGTTGAGTTGCTATTTGGTTCAGTCATCAAACCATAAACTTTCAAGTCAGTGCTATGGAATGAATATGACGACCACTTATCGCCCTCATCTGTCGAGTAAAGAATTTCTCTGGTTTCGCCTTTTGACTTGAAATATTTAACTGCGACGAGAATGCCACCATGATCACCCATGTTGAAGAAATGATAATTCTTCAAGATTTGCTTCCATGTGAGGCCAGCATCACGAGATATATAAACGCCTGGATGACCTTTCAACGACTTTCCAATCACCCGGAAGCCATGATGACACCCGGAGCAGACTTTGAGCTCATTATCGTCACTGAACGTGTAACTGGATAAAGTTGACTAAACTTCTGACTCAAATGTAAGCTACAATCTTTGCAGATAATTGGTTGACCTTCGTCATCAACTGTCGGAGCGATTATAGGACTCCAAGTGCTTCCATGATCGAATGTTATCACAGAGCCGAGATTATCGGGTGAAATTGCATCATTTGTTGGAACTTTATGGATTCTTGATGCGATGTAAATGCCACGTAAACCTTCAACTTTATACAAGTCGGTGAAGGGCTCATCAGCCGATTGTGTCAACCAACTACTCTTCCAATTTAGTTCGGGAATGTAAGTGAAAACATTCTCCAAACTTTGCACAAACTTAATTTCCGTCATTTTCTCATTTGCTTCCGATACATATAAATGTGAAATTTTCTCATTATGAATTGCAGAAACCAAAATTCGTTTTCCTTCAACATCCGCAATGTGAATTCCTTTGACATCAAGTTCAGTTATGAAATCAGCTTTAAGAAATTTCTCACGACGATATGAAATCAAAAGCTTTGTTGTGTTCAATGACTTTTGAACCGCAAACATGAAATCTTTCTTCACATAAAATTCCTGAACATTCTCGATAAGCGTGTTGAATTTTCTCGGTCCATTTCTTAAAAGTTCCGAAGCATTAATAAAAATGATGGACGAAGAGTTTGTCGGTTCTTTTCGTTCGACATAGAGATGTGTCGGAACACTGTCACCTGACGACCATACAAATGACTTAACATAACTTTGTAAACGGTCAAACGTCACACCAAAATCATTTGTTATGTAAAGTGTTCGTTGTGGATCATCTTTATCAAGCACGAGAAATGTTCTCGAGTCAGCTTCATAAAAGGAAACATCCGATGGCTTGAAACTGAGTAAATGATTCTTGATAGTCTTTCCATTGTCGTCGGATGTAAAAATTGCATTGTTGTTCGTATCCGTGAAGACAATCTGACAAAAAAAGAACACAGAATAGAAAATAGTATGAGAAAATTTTAACTCAAGTACCATCAACAACAATCAACTTACAGTGTTAAACTTCGGATGCGTCACAAAAAGATCCACCGTTGAATTTATGATTGTATTCGACTTGTTGAGTTGAAATTTTTCAGTTTTATCTTGAAACGTGTCACCATAATCATACGAAATGAAAACTGAAAGCAAAGCGATTTTTTTTATCTTTTCATGATGGAAAAAAATAACGAAAAGGGAACTCACTTGTTGATGGTGCTGCGATTGTTGTATTAGGATCATCGTTTGAACCTAGTGGTGGATCACGTGCCAAACAAATCATCACATCGGAGCCTTCACCAAGCCAATGAACCATTAGCTGAGCATGAGAATCATTAAGGGCGTTGTGCTGTTTAATTTCCAACAAAGGAAGAATGAAGAAAAAATTTCTTAATAAATTAAATTCTTGTCTAGAATTTCTAGAAAATTGTTGAAACATCAAACTTTTAAATAAAACGAGTTTACATTCTATGATTCACAGACGATGAGTAAAGAAGAAAAATCTGACGTTGATGTAGAAAAATTACAAAAAGCAGAAAAAATCAATCATTAAAATTGATTGAATCGAAATTACTAGCGAAACTTGAATTTGAAAATCATTTCAACAAGATTTCCCTAAACAACTTAAAGTGATTTCTTTTTATTTCCTTTCTTTCCTATTTTGCAACGTCATGAAAATCAGGAAGGCAATAAGAACTTAAAGGGCGCTTGTTGTTGTAAACGTGACAATGACGAGGGTGAGTGAAGTGAACCCGCATGTGAAAGTCAAATGTTTTTATTTTTTTGTGAAGCTTTGATTTGAATTCCAACATTATAATGTAATTGAAAATACTTTAATATAATAGTTGTTAATTTATTTAACGAGTGAACATGAAATCAAGACATTTTCATGCAGCATATAAAAACATAAATGTTTGGCTCCTTTTTATGTATTCAACAACGAAAGATTCTTAATGAAAACAGACGCCATGCCATTTAATGATGCATCAACCACCATGAGTCACACAAACAATCAGAATTTTCATTTGAATTTGATTCACGTTCTCATCTCAAATTAGAATAGACAAATTATGAATATCTTTCGCATTGAAGAGATTTATTAATTTACGCAATAATTTTACTCTCATTTTTATGGTTTTACTGCGATTTATTACCGATGCAGATGTTTTGTTTCTTTTTTTCGTTGTGTTGTTCAACTATTTAGTTTCATTTTAATTTATTTCTCTCAACAGCATGTTGTAGTGGAACAAAAAATAAAACATACGAACATTGTTACTGCTTCTCGGTGACACGTATTCTGCGCTTGTTCAGTTCTGTCCTGTTAGTTAGAACGCAATTATTACATTTTAATGACAGCCGCTGTTGAATTGCAAATAAAAGGTTTAAAATGCCAAAAAAACACAAATTTTCTGCGTTGTAATATTGTCGAAAGAGATGGAAATGTTCTGACGCGCTTGGATAGGGAAAACGGTCACATGAAATCAACGCGAACAAAAGAGAATCGAAATTTTTTACGCCAACAACAGAAGCAACTCAGAAAATAAAATAAAACAAGAAGAAGATTCAAAAGTTCACAAACTTTTGTTGTTCATGAATGAAAATATTTAAGTTTCTCTCTCCTTCTTTTCTTTAAAAGGAAGGAAAGAATGAATGCGATTAAAACAATAAATTTTAAGCCTTTTATGACTCTTTCCACTATCTACGTCGTTGAACATAATTCCAGTAGCTGAAAGAGAAGAAAAAAAAGCGAATAAAAAGGCAAAAGGAGAAATAAACGTAAAACGATGAAATTCCTTTTCATTCACATTCTGAATAAGTTTTGTTTGCATCATTGTCATCAGCTGTTGGCGCGATTGAAGTAAAATACTCATAACAATATAAAAAGATTAAATAGCGTAACATTGAATAGAATAATCTCCGATTGTTGTTGAAGGCGTGAAGCGATGATTGTGAGATAAAAATCCATTAGGTTAGGAAATTTGAATTTAATCATTTTACAATATCTATCGAACAATTTTTAGAATTTTGACTCACAAACGAACAAACAAAACTGATGAAATATGAAAAAGGGAAATGACCGACATAACCGAATGACAGCAATACAAGCAAAGACGGAAAATTACTTTTGAACATCAGCTTTGACATGCTCCTTTAAATATTAATCATGATTGAAGGATATAAAAACTTTCTCCATCATTACTACCAAAATTACTTAATTTAGAAGGAAATCAACTGACAATAATCGCTAAAATGTTTTCAAAATGACCACAAAAGTTATTGCTTGCAACTTTATTTCCATCACTTGATAAGAAGTTGTTGACTTATTTGCTTTACAGTTTCTTTTTATTTTATTATCAATGAGTAATATTAACGTTAATCATCAAACATATTTTTATACATTAAACGATTTTTCTGCTTTGCTGATGAATGAAGATGAATGAATCCACGACTGAATCATTTGCAATTAAAATACGTAAATGAATACGTCAGAAAATGTATTGAGTAACAGCATTCGCAAGGATTGCAATAACAGTAAAGATAAAATATCCTCAACTTAACAACACTCCCAAGGCTTCAGAATATTTGTAACACAATCTTCATCCTATTCTATTTCTGTAAATCTCGACTGAATTTCCTTCTTGTTTTCTTTCTTAACTTACAAAGATATTATTCGCTTTGCAATCTAAAATTTATCTAACATAAAAAAGGTTTTCAATGTAATCGAATCATGTCTTTGACCTAACATCAAACATAGAATAGAAATTATTGAAAGTTAGAAGATTTAGATAATCCTTCGAAACGAATTTGATAGATCGAAGGACTGGAAATAATCGCTAAAATTCCACAAAAATTCCCCAGGAAATTTTTTTATATTAATTAACTTCCTAAATAACAAACGTGCTGTTTATAAAAAAAGTAATTGGAATTTTAATGATTTCGCAGAATATCTAATCAAATTAGATTTGCAATCTTGAATAATCTTATCTTAACTTTCCGTTACCTATAAATAAAAGCTTTTAATTGCTTATCAACGCTTTGATAACAACGCCTAAAGAGAGATTGACAGGTAGCAGTGGAAATTAAACTTCTGTAGATTGAAATTTATTTACAGTTTGAGTTCAAAGTGAGAAGTCAGTGAATATATTTGAAGATGAAGATTTTTGCTTTCATTATTCTTGTTTTTGTGTTTCTCCCTGGAAACAAATCTCAAAGCAACATTAACGACGCAATTCATCATGCATTCGATGTTATCCTACGAGACCTAATGCGTAATGGAAACCCAGAAACAGGATTCCCAGTATTAGCACCGACAATCATTCCAACCTTAGACGTGTCATGGTCGATTGGACATCTTGTCGACTTGGACGGACAATTACGCAATTTTCGTATAGATGGTTTAGATGGCTTTCGTATCAACGATGTTCGTTTGAGTCTGCTGACGATGCGTTTTGTTTTCGACTTTATTTGGCCCAATGTACGATTCACTGGTTGGTATAACCTTAATGGGCGATTCGGTGGTTTGGTGCCGATCTTTGGACAGGGAAATTTCGTACTCGAACCAAGAAGTGAGTACAATGAAGAAATTTTCTTTCTTTTTCTTACTTCTAAATCGTGCTTTGATAACATTTCAGATTTTCGAGCGTCTGGATTTGCTCAAATTCGTTTTCTGGGATCAAATAACAATCTTAATGTTACCGACATGGACGTTCGTTTGAATTTGCCAAGCTTGCAAGTAAGCTGATGTTTATGATTTTTGTTGTTATGAATTATTAAATATTTACTGAGAACTTCCTTTAGATGAATGTACAAGGAATTTTAGGTGGCGGTGATTTAGGTGCGGTTATCAATAAAGTAGCACAAGATCTTGTTCCATCATTGATACGGACATTTGAGAATGAATTAAGCGATCTTATGAGCAATTTGTTAATACCGAGAATCAACCCATTCTTGAACAACCTGACTCTAGACGATATTATTAACAGAGCACCATAATTAAATAAACAGTGGGATAGATTCAAAAATACATGTCATAAACATACATTTGATATGAAATGAAATAAACAAGAAATCGAAAATCAATTCCTAAAACAAACATTGCTTTCTTATCACTTTCCAATTATGTTCAATGACAGCATGTCGAAGACACTTGTGGGGCGTTACACCCTAAATAAAACAAAAAATGAATGAAAAAAGTGATATCGACATCTGATCTGCTTCACTTGTTGTCAAAATGCCAGAATTTCCAATGAGATAAAAAGAAGTTGGAGTCGAATGATAACAATGGAATTATAAAGGGACGATAAAAAACGTTCGTGTTGTTTAAGTTTAAAATGATAACGAAACAGACTTCAATTAATCATCACGATTAGCTTTGATAATAGCACACCCTAAAAAAATAATAACAAAGTAATTGAGCGTTCTTCTAATCGACCTTTCTTTGTTTCAGATTGACTTTTAAACTTTTTCCACTCTTCACTTCGTTTTCTTTTTCATTTTTACTCACACCTACAAACGTAGATATCAGAATTTTACTAAAATAAATATCTACTTTAAGACCTGTAAAAACTTTTTTTTCTTTAAATTCTCCCCGTGTCAATAAACTTTCCAGACGTTCAAAACAATTTACATTCGAATGACATTCCCTTGAGATCGTAGAGCAAGAGACGACAAAGATTAAAAAAGAACAAAAAAAAACAAATCTTCTCATTTATTTCCGACGAGAGTACGATTAATGGAAATTATGTCTAGAGAAGGGAAATGCAAGAACAATTCCCATGATTCATTTTATTCGTCCTTCCTAATGCAAAGGAGTCACTTTAAATCATTAGCGTAAATGTCTTTGAGAATTAGAATAACAAAAAGAAGGAAAATTCACTTTGCACAAGCGCTTGCTTCACAAAATCACATTTTTGAATATACAAAGAAAATCAGAATGCTGGCAATTCTCATGAATTCGACGTAATCAAAGCTATTACAGAGAAGATTGCAGAAACAGTTTCATAATACGGAATGAGATAATTTTATTATCAAACTGTCATTAAGAACTCGTAGTGGAAAAGCATCTTCGTTCATGTGAGTCATGACTATGCTGTTTTGTAAATCAAAGCAAAACTTTTTTGTATTCTGAACTTGAAACTGATAATTTGAAGCCATCAAAAGATCAATAACCACCTACCGCAATTGAAAGGAGAACTGAATTTTGAACAAGTGTAAAATGGAGTTATGCCATGCAACAAACTCGTTTATCATTCCTTCTGCACACTACTTTTATCATTATTTTTATTTCTTTCATCCCTCTGTTATTGTGGACTTTGCCGCATTTTGCACTTAACTTATTTACGAGTTCATTTTCTGACAGCAATTTTCGCACTTCATTTATCGATTATGTTTAACGTTATGATAGCTTGAATTGAGTTTATGGGGTTAATGTTATGCAGATTCAATCATCGTTTTCGCGGTTACATTTCAATCAATACTATTATGCTACAAATATGCATCACGTTATCATCATCAGTCTTTTTATGAGAATTAACTAACGACAATGACTTTGTTGGCTCGTAATACAATTGAACTTCGTTTAAAATGCTATAAAAAAAATGAACTTATTAAATTATTCACGAAAAACAGTTTTGCCTTTTATTTTTGTTTACATTTTCAACAAAGCCGTCGTTGGCAAAAATTCCCTGGGATTGTTTTATGTTCAGTTCCATGAAATGCAGATGATGCTAAGTACAAGAGAAGTAATTTAAGCATAATGGAAAATTACACCAGAAGAGCATCTCTTTTCATTATTTAAAATTAGTCCTATTCATCATATTTTGGGACAGAGTGAAGGATTAATGCAAACACCTGCTGACTGATAAGAAGAGAGTCGAAAAACTTACGATGAGTTTTTGTTCTTACGTTTTGAATATCTTCGTAAACGAAACGCAATTTTTTTTAAACTTTAATCAGGAAATAAAATTATTTAATCAACCGACACTTATTTTATTTTTCATCTTTCAATTGTTAGAGAAACTGACACAAGATGAATGAAGTCAACTCGAGTTTATTATCATTATTATGCTCTTCTTGTACGTTTTCATTCTCTATTATTTATGATGATATGTAATGAGATTTAAATTGTAAAGAGAAAACAAAAGCATAAAGTGAAGCAGCAACTCGCTTTTTCCATTTCGAAACTCTTTCCATCAAGGCGATAACGATGAAGTTTTTCGCTTCATTCATCGCAATTGTTTTGTTTTATGAAAAAGGAAAACTTATGGAATTTTTTTTCATTTTCGTGAGGAATTTACGCTGCTATTGTCTTTTTGTTTCGAGAGAAAAATGGAAGAAACAAGAATCAATGCTCTTCTCGTCAAACAGCTGGATATTTTCTTTTTCAAAGTGCTTATAGTGCCTTTTCATTTGTCCCTCACTTTCGATGGTGACAAAAATATTTTCCCAGTATCAAATAGACGGATGAAAATCCCTTCGTCTTTTATATTCACAGAAAATCAATATTTTCCACTTTAAACTGATAAAAAGAGAAGGAAAATAGAATAGAATGAAAGCGTCCTCCGAGAGATTATCGCTTTATGCGAGCAACAGTAAAATGAGGGTCGAGAAGGGAAATGGTTGGAAGAAAAACGTTGCATTGGATCAAAAATGCGTTGAATCATGTAAATCAACCTTTCAGAGATTATTTTCTTTATTTGGTGATGAGTACTGCTGGTGGGGGTGGGATGAAAAGTATTTTATAGTGTGAGGGGAGACATGATATAACGCGCAAAGGGACTAACAAAGAAATTAGCAACTCATTCAATCTTTCGCTTTTGTGTGTAAAACACCGCTCACACTTTTCTTCGTTTTCACGTTCGCATATATGCTCTTTTTTTCTCATTTTCACAGATTCTTCTTTTAATTTTGTTTCAACGCCAACAACACAAAAAAAAATTCAACATCATCACTTTTTTTTTGGGAGAAAATTCTAGATCGATTAAAGAAATTAAAGAAATTTCATTCGAGACTCAAAATAGAATTGATTTAATATTAATCATTCAATGGACTCGCTTCGTTTGTTTTTCTTTCTATTTTTCGCTTAGTAAGCTACTGATAAGAGGAAATGAGTGTTTGTGTGCTTATTTACCTTTGTAGTAATATTTTTCGAGTTTTCACTTCGATCCGACGATGTTAAATCTCTTCTGTATCTTTGGTTGATAACCTCAGCTAAATCCAAATCAGTATTTTTTATCAATAAAGGTTTATTTGATCCAATATCGGCATGTTCGACGTGTAAAAATTTCTGTGAATTCCCCGAATGCGTCGGAAAAATTGGGTTTATCGAATAAATAAAAACTAAACAAAACAAGATTTTTTCCATTTTTTGTCAAAATTTCTCACTATTCTGAATATTTCTTTGCACTATTTTTGTATATTTTTGTTTAATAAACACAAATACACGTTTTTCATCACTTTATTCACTTTAATAATCCTTCTTAATTCGCCGAAATTTTATTTAGAACTGAGCGAAGTTTCGAATAAAAACTTTTTTATTTTAACGTAGACACCTGAAAATAGCGCACATTTGTAAAGTTCTAGAACACTTTCTTAAACTTCAGCACGAGCGCATTTGGATTCTGTTTTTCGAAAAACTTCAAGTGCTGAAGTTTCAACAAGCAATCCATCAGAATTTCAGTTGGAAGTTGAAAGAGAGAACTTCTCTTCCAAATATTTAGTTATCCACATCTCAGTTGACTTTATTGTACATGAAAGTTAATTGCAGAATTTATTTATTAATAACTTTGAACTCATCACTTTTTAAAGATTGTGAGATAAAATTGTGCAAATAAACTTAACGGTTGAATTTTTGTTTATTAAGTTTCATTAGAAAATCTCGAAGATTTAAAATGGAAATAAGCTCGAAAGATGAGGAGCAATCTGTCGTGGTAGTACATATAGAAGAAGGTGAGGAATTAATGATATTGAAAAGAGATTATTAAATGTCACTACATAACTTTCCAGGAATTCATTTCAATTCAGCTCCAGCAATCTACATTCAAGCAACCTTAAGTGGAAACAAATTAAATGCCGAGCCAGTGAAACCCGGCCACACTACCCTAATTGACTGTAATTTGGTGTGGGAGACCGACAAAAAATCTGTTAAGAGGTAACATTTCAAATGCCACTTGTCAGAATTTTTGTTTCAATTAACGACTTAATTTTTTTCCAGAATGAAGTCAGACAATTTGTCAATCAAAATAGAATGCTTCGCTCTTAGTGATTTAAAAACAAAGCCAAATGAAACTAGAAAGGAGTTGATTGGATATATTCTTGTTCCAATGAAAGTCATTCCAGTTGTGCCAATTGCAAAAGCGATTCAAACTAAACCACGATGGACTCGAGTCATTGGGTTGTCGAAAGAATGGAGACAATTCAAACCTGAATTACTTCTAAATACAATGATTACTAGCAAGGAATTTCTCACTTACAATAAAAACGAAGCACTTGAAGCGCGTGGACTGGAAATTATTGAATCAATGGTGATTGAAGAGAATCCAACGCCTGGCATGTTGACATCTCAGAAAGGAATTTTCATTCGACTTCTTCAAGAAGAAGGACTCCTTCAAGTCGGTCACATTGATACCGAATGCGACGTTTTCACAATTAAAATTCTTTTGAAACATATTCGTGATCTTGATCTGGTAAAACTTTCATTGAAATAATTTAAATGATGAAAATATTCAAATTTTGATTTTTTACAGCTTCTCAATGAATCTCAGAGCGAACTAAGCAATGATTTGTTTATTAATTACGTGCTTCTTGGGAACCCACATACTCGTGCACTTGATAAAAAATTCAATCGTCAACACCAAATTCATGAGAAAGTTTCAATCAACTTTCGTTCATCGCTTGCTTTACTAAAAGAATATTTCGATAAAGTTTTCTTCATTCCATTTGATGTCGTTGCTGGTGATAAAATTCTTGGTAAGTCTGAGATTAAGCTGAATCAACTTATCACGACAACAAGCTTGAGAGAGTTTTTTGAGAAATATCCGACTGTGTCTTGTGAATTTGATGGAACTTGTGTGATCAAAAATCATAACGAAGATTCATCCAACCATGCCAGTCCTGTTCTTGATTACCAAGTTTCGATTCATTACATCGCCACGAAAAAACTTCATCAAACTGAACTACTGGAAAATTTCAAACGCAGTCAAAGAATTGATTCGCAAGCTGGCGGTGACAATGCAGTTCCTTCCCATCGCGACGTTTTAACGAATATTAAAAGTTCTTCAAGACAAAAGGAAACTTTGAATGATTATGAAGCAGTTAAATCGGTTGGAGTTGGTCAATCTGAAGTAATAAAGAAACCTTCCACAAGTCATTCATCAAATTCAGTTTTGAATGCTCAGAAAAAAGAAAAATCTTCAGAACTTCCTCGCATTTACAGTTGCACTCTTCACATAAGCACAATTAAGTTTAACAGAAAGCCATGCAAAGGAATCTGGCAAGTGTTATTCTTTCACGATAAAGCTGACACCCAAAAAACTTTTGTTAATAAAGAGATCAATGAAGCGTCTGATTTAAGTGACAACACATTTGACTTCGATGAAGTTGAACTTAAACTTTTCTTTAAATCAGAAGCCTCTAACATTATGGAACTCATTAAGTCATCTGATAATTGTTGCTTGACAATTAAAGGACCCAAAGGAGCATTTGGAAAAGCCCATTTAGATTGCACGAGCTTACTAATTGGAAACAAAGAGAATAAAAGTGGGATGATCATTTTTCTCGATTCCGTTGAAAATGTTATGGCGATGGCGAATATTTATGTAACGATGAATGACTTGGGAATTAATTTCAATTCAATTCCTAGACCCATCACACCAAATTCCACCAAAGATGTTATTGAAACACGTTATTCTGACATGAATGTGACAAAAACCTTTGAAGATCAAAAGATGAGAATGTTGGATGAAGATTTGACTTATAAATTGATCGATGAATTGGAAGAATGGAAATCTAACCATCAGAAACAATTTATGTTGGATCTTAAACAAAAAGAAACTCAACTTCTTGAAGTTTTGAAAACTGAATGGTTGACAAAGCAAACCAAACTTGAGCAAGAAATTTTAGTGAAGGCTGAAGAAATGAAATCGTTAACAAATGCTTTGAAAGACGCTCAAAAAGATTTAAAAGACAATAACTCGAGAATGTCAAGAGATGATCAAGACCTTGAGACATATAAACGTGAATTGGAAGCAACTTATAAGAATCAATTAATTATCATTCGTGAACGTGCTCGAGAGCTTGAAACTGATTTGATGCATGAATTGAAATTGAAAGACATTCAATTAAATGATTTGAATCATTGTAATCAACACTTGAAGACTGAAAACTGTGAACTCCGACATAGACTAGAATGCTTGCAATCTGAATTCGCTGAACTTAAAGCAAATGTGATGCCACCAGAACAAGTTGAGAAATTAATTCAAGAAATTGTAAGAAATTAAATTTTAATTAATTTTGTGTAGGTGTATAACTAAATTAATTTGTTTCAAGAGATTGCTGAAGGAAAGATGCGATGTTCTCGAACAGTCTAAACTTCATTATAAGGAACAATGGGCCAAGGCTGTTCGAGAAAGTCACATTGTTAGACGACAACAAATTCGAAATGAAAAAGAAAATCTTTTTGATGCGAAATTTGAAAGGTGAAATGTTTGAATTTAAAGTTAATTAAATTATTAATTTCTCCTTCCATTTCAGCTTATACGGAAATTTGGACGATGACAATTGTGAATTAAATATCGATAAACATGAACTCGAACAAATCAAACAATGCTTAAATGTCAGTGATGATGAAATTTAATTTATTTTTCTATAAATATTTTTTATACAAGTTTCGATTTAAAAACATTTTCGATATTATTTATTAAATTAAAAGATTTTCTATTGTTTTTAAAAGCAGAATTTTTATTTATTTAGATTCACTTTCTGCCTTTTTTTGTTACTGATTTTTTTTATTAAACATCATTAAGGTTTGTCTCACTCTTTTGTTAAAAGATGAACAATTGTCCCAATGACTCTCTTTCCCCGATCATGATTCCATAAGTTCAAAAGCGGATCTTTGATCTTCTCTTCGAGAATATTCATAAGTTCGGTTTTCATCCACTTCATGCCTTCAGCAGTCTTCAATGAATCTGCTTGAATTAAAAGCCAACCTTCTTCAAGTAAGAACAGAAAATCACTGTTGTGAAGCTCAATTCTGACATCAGTTCCTGAGAATAAAATCAAAGGAATGATGGGAACCATCGTCGAGTCACGAATGAAAATCTTCGAAGTTTTCACTTTCTCTTGATAAATCAAAAATGGTGAAGTGAAGTTTCCAACATTTGAGTTGACACTTGATGGATGTAAACTCACATAACCATCTTGTTTTGTCTTGAATCTTAATTCACTTGCTTGAAATGCTCGTGGAACTGCACCCGAAAATGTGTTGACGTAATTCTTCTCCGGTGTGAGAACCTTAAAGAAAAGTTAAAATATTTTTAAAAAGGAGAATTAAATTTAATTAATAATCTTACCTTAACAACATTTGGATACAAAGCAGCACACAATATTGCACCAATAAGTTTAGAATTCTCTGAATTTGCATTCAATTCCTTCCCTGTGATTTCAAATAGATTATCGTCAAATGCTTTTCCTTTGGGTTGTTTTGGCATGTCAACAGGAACAAATCCGATAGAAATTAACAACTCAAGAAACTGAAATTTAATTTCTCCAAGCATCTCTAAAGTTCGAAGTGAAAGATAATTTTCTTCAGTGTAAACATGACCAGCATAGCGACTTTTCTTCTTCGCTTCCTTCCACTTTCTATAAGCCATAAGAACCGTCAAATGATCGCTATTACCAATAGCGAATTGCCGTTTACGAGCGTCAGCTTCTTGTCGCTTTGAGAATGGCGAGACGAAAGGAGATTTGTGACTGAGACAGGCACAGATTGTCAAAATACTGTCAAGACATTGAAATATTGCACCAAACAACATCAATTTGCCAATACGAACATCAACAGGTAAAAGTGCAAGATGCGATCCTAAAGCTGTCAAATCTTCATTTTCAAAAGCTCCAAGATTTTGAAGTCGCTTGACAGCCCCTTGAACATTGTCATCTGATGGTGGCTCAATTGCTCGATTTAAGATTGAAGTCAAAGTGTGACCATCAAAACAAGGCAACATTTTAATTCTTAACAAAAGTTGTTCTAAAGGAACTCGATGAATCTCAGGCACTGGCTGTGCGAGAATATTATTGTCATGTCGATGTTTAGTGAAGAGATGAATGCAAATTCCAGGCATCACACGACCAGCACGACCTCGTCTTTGACTGGCATTTGCTCTCGATATCCAAACAGTTTCCAGCGATTCCATGTTACGATTACTGTCAAAATGTTTTTCCTTCTGTTGACCAGCATCAATCACAAAGACACAATCGTCGATTGTCACAGAAGTTTCAGCGATGTTCGTGCTGAGAATAATTTTACGTTTTCCATGCATCTTCTTAAACACCAAACTTTGTTCTTCCGATGATAATGTCGAATGCAAAGGAATAAGAACGAAGTTATTTGAGCGACTTCCAAATAGTTTACTATCCATGAGTCCATCGAAAACGGCTTGAATCTCAGCTAATCCTGGCAAGAACACTAAAATTGTTCCTTCACGTGGCCAATCATGTTCATCCGACTCTACGATGTAAGTCAGAACTGCTTCAATAAGTTCAGGATTGATTTTCAGTGGATCCATGAGAAACAATGTCTTGCATGTCATCCGCGAATAGTCGATGTATCTTGCAATCAAATCAGCGAGTTTTAAGTTTTCGTCTTTCGCAAATCGTGGCGGTGGAGCGTCGTTTGCTCTCACATCAGCATATTCCAACTCTTGCATTAATTGTTCTTCATCTTTTCTTGATATTTTCTTCGCATATTGTGTGTCGGGTTCAAGAACAAATCCACTCCACTCAAGAATTTCTTCGAGGAAAATCTGTTGAACCGGAAATGTTCTTCCTTGAATTGTTAAGACTGGTGCACCGTTAAAGTATTCAGAAAATAATTTTGAGTTGAGTGTTGCTGACATTAGAACAACTTTCAATTGTGGTCGCTTTTGAAGAACTTCTTTAAGAATTAAAAGAAGAAAATCTGATTCTTCTGATCTTTCATGAACTTCATCGAGAATTAGATGAGTAACAGTATCGAGCAGTGGATCAGAGTAAAGTCTTCGAAGAAGAATTCCAGTTGTACAGAAAGTCAGACGTGTTGATGATGAAATTTTATTTTCGAGTCGTATTTGATAGCCAACAACCCCACCAATTTTCTCATTTCTTTCATCACTTATCCTTTCAGCAACTCCAATTGTAGCGATTCTTCTCGGTTGAGTAACAATGATGTCGATTTTTGAAGGATTCTTCAGGCCTTGGGACGTCGTCATCCAATGATCGAGAATAAATTGTGGAACTTGAGTTGACTTACCACAACCAGTGTCTCCACTTATAACGACAACTTGATTGGAATTGATTGTCTTAACAATTTCATCCTTCATACTCCATGCAGGAAGTGTCTGACGAGCTTCAAGCATCTTTTTGTAATAAGAATTGTTTAGTTTCTCTTGAAACTTTCTGATCAAGTTCAAATTATCTTTGAGAACTTCTTGATCGCTTAAATTTCGTTTATCGAATTTGTCGACACGTCCCAATCTGTGATGAGATGGTAAATTGCTGTTGTCGTCTTCTTCGTCTTCTTTATCTAATTCAAACGGGTCGTAGTCAAAGATGCTGATATCTGATGATGGATATTTAAAGAAAGTATTTTTATTTAAATAACTTAAAATTTCTTCTTCGTTTCGGAGTAAATCGATGACACTGTAAACAGATGGGATTTGATCTTTGGCAAGTTCACGAGATTCTTCTATAAGTCGTTGATTGATTCGCAAGCAAATTGATTTGGGGATGTCAGCGATCTTATTTCGAATCAGAATGATTGGCGCAGCTGCTGGATATTTGATCCATTTTGGAAAACGAATTTCAACGTACCACGTTCGAAGGCCGTCGTCAGGTTCGTCTTTCTTTTTAATTCCTGATGTTGAGCCGTCTTCATTCTTGTTGATGTCATGAGAGTATCTACATTTGGGACCGAATCTACACTTTCCTTTCTCAATCAAATTTCGACATTTATCAATGTCAATCTTTTTCTTATGAAGTCGCAATCTTTGCAGCTCTTGAAGACGAGCTTCCTTTTCCAGTTGCTTCTTTTTCTCAATTTTCTTCTCTTCTGATGGCGAAAACTTAAGAAGATAATCCAGTCTAAGTTTGAATTGCCAAATATGATTCTTTTCAATTTCTTGAAATTCTTCAGCACTGTAAATTGATTTCAATGATTCCATCTCGTCGTTCATCATTTCGTAACGACTTTCTTCGCTCATATCACATTCGACAAAGTCTTTTCGCCGTGTAGGAAAATATTTATCGAATAATAAATTCATAGAATCGTCAATATTGTCGTTGAACATGTCAAGGCACTCGAGGCAGTGTCGTTTGTGAAATCCATAACTTTCAAGTTTAACTAAAGCATAAACTTTCATTTTTTCTTCACCACTTTCAGCTGATCGCATGTAGCTATAGTCGAAGCCTCCTTGAATCACCAGCTCTCCTCTTTCCTTCCAATAAGACTTCTTTATCTTCGATCCTCGATCTTTATAATCTGCTACACTTCCAAAGTTAAACTCATCACCATGAATGTATTTCAATGTTGACATTATCATGTTGTGACTTTCTTCCTGCAGACTCAACACTTGAAGCTCTACTTTTGTAGTACTTTTTGCCGGTGCTGGAATATCTTTCGTGGTGTTTCTAAAATATGAATGAATTATTGGGACACGTTGTTCAAATAATTTTCATTTTAAGTTTTCTTACGAAGCACGAACGTCGGCAATTGGCCGAAGAAAAAAATCTCCAAATATACTTTTAGATTCACCTTCCATTGCAATTAAAAAATAAAGAAAAAAATATAAAATTTCTTATATTTTATCAATAATAAATTTGGCTAGAATTTCACAATCGAATGAAAGCTTTGAATGAATGTAAATAAAAATCAGCTGATTGCAACGTGAATTTATTTTTGAATATTTAACCGTTAAACAATTGAAAAATGTGCACAGGCTAAATTAAAGTAAAACAAAAACTTCTTTCACAATTCATAAATTAATCATTTATTCATTAGTTAGGTACGTAGGAGTTGAAAAAAACATTTTAAAGTTAATATCGAATGAGATTTCTTCATGCATAATTAAAACGAGATTTAACTCTTTCTGAGAACTTTCTTGTGCTGAATTTCAAGCCTTTTCTGATTTTCTTTTATTTCTTTCTCACGAAGTTTCCTCGACAATTCTTGTGGATGCATTCGCTTTCGATGTGAATAATCTGGAAAACAAATAAATTTAATAGATAATTAACTAAGACGATGAAATGTTGCCTACAATTTCCACTGCTGACAAAAGTTTTAAAACAAAATTCACATGAATATTTTCGCAGACCAGAATGTTGTGCATTGACGTGATTAGTGAGTGTGTTCTTCAGTTTGAAAGCTTTCTCGCAAATCTTTAAATACAGAAGATGTCTTAAATACATTAACTTAATATTCAATTCATAATTACCTCGCAAATAAATGGTTTCAAGTCACTATGTTTAACTCTTTTATGACTTATGAAGCACTGCCTATTAACAGCTGAATAATCGCATTTATCACAAAAAAATCGAGTCTCACTATGGATTGACATGTGTTTCCTCAAACAATGTTTATTCTTTAGCCACTTCTGACATATCGTGCATTGTGTCTGAAACTCAAAATCTTTGTGCGTCGTCAAATGATACGAAAGATTACTTTTGCTAGCAAAGTTCTTCAAACACGTGTCACATTTATGTTCTTTTCTGAAAATTGTTTTTCTTCGTAGTTTTTTATGAACTGAATTGATGTGAGCAGTTAATCGAGTGGAAGCTCCAAAACGTTTTCCACAAGTTTCACAACAGAACAAAGTTTTCTTTTCTTCCGGTAAATGGGAAATGACATGACTAGAAAGTGCACTCTGATAGGAGAAAGCACGATTGCAGTTGGGTTCAGGACATTTTAAATTACGTTCACCTTCTGGCAGATGATTTTGAATGTGATATTGAAGAATCTTTGGACATGTGAGTAGTTTGTTGCATAAATGACATCGAAAAGCATTTGGCTGAACGTGACGTGCCATGTGCAAAGCAACCTGTTTTAACTTTGAAATTTTAGTATCACAACAAGTTACGAATCCTTTTTCAGAGTGAACGCTTTTAAAATGGCTCATCATAGTTGTGTATTTGCGAAACTTGATTGATGGTTCACATAAACTGCATTCCAATCGATAGAATTTTGTTACTAGTTGCACAAGAGCTTTTCCTTTTACGACGAGTCTTCCGTTCTTAATCATTTCTTTTGGAAACTTGTCAAGATTACAATTCAACTCACGTTCTACTGATGCTTTTTCAATTTCTTCATCTGATTGACTTTGATTTGTTTCCTGTAATTTTTCTTCCGCTAATTCAACAACTTTGCAATGAAAATTTTGAGAGAATATTGGATTTACTGTTTCCTGAGCTATCTTTTCTTTGCCTGATTCAATTGAATTGGAATCACCACTAGAAGCTTCATTTAACTTTAATTGTGATTTGTTATCCTTTAAAACAATAATATATCTGATTTCATTATTCTGTTGTGCTTCTACTTGTGCTAACGTTTGTTGTTTGTAGAAATTTTCTTGAGATTTATGAATCAATTCATAAAACTGATCAAATGCATCTATTTTCTCTGTACATGTTTTGCAAATTAGTGCATTATCACTGAGCTAAATAAAATAATTAAAATATCAAATTTGTTATAGTCATTCGATTATTAAAATGAGAAACTTACTTGCAAATTTAGATATTTCAGAATTTTTCCTCGAAAATTTACATCAATTGTAAAGTATTCTGTCGTTCTGTCAAAACACAATCGACAGAATAGTGACATTTTTCTTCGATGTTTTTTTCTAAATTTATTTTTGTTTACTTTTTGTCTAAAGCTACAGTAAAACTTCGACTTGTGAAATTCAGGGTTGAGTATAATTATTTAAAGCAGGGCTTTATTAGTTTTCTTTATTTTTATTTACCAGGTGTTCTTAGCGCAAATATTTTTATTTGTACTTGTTAAATTGAAGTTGATTTTTAAAAGTCTAATCGCTGGATTAAAACAGGAATTTAGAGGATATCCTAGAGAATTCTTGACAATAATTTGTGTTTACGTTGAATTTCCTCATAACATTGGAGCAGCAATCATTTGCTAAGCAGTTCTTTCGTGTTTAATTTAAAATTTAAATGGTTGTCAAGTTCTACTGAACAATTGAATGACTTTATTATAATACAAGAACGGTGGAGAAAAAATGAATATTCCAGATGAATCCGAAAAGATATCCGAAGAAACAAGTCAATGTTCTGATTTGCAAGAGAATGAAATTTTTAATCTACCAGATGAAATTTTTTTTCACATCTTTCAATATGTGAATATCTCATCACGCAAAACTGTCTCACTAGTCTGCAGGAAATTTTATGAACTGATATGTATTGTAGAAAGAGATTGTCATCCACTGGATCTTTCTTATCAACAGGTGAGAATGAGACAAAGTAATATAAATAAACTTTAAAGAAATTAATAATTTCAGATTTGTGATGGAGATATTCACGATTCGATTGTGAATTCATTTCGGGAATTTGAAGACCTGACAATAAATCTCAAGCATTGTCGTGTTGTGATCAACATAGAAAATATTTTAGATGTGATGGTAAAGTTTGGAGGGAGAATAAAAAGATTCAAATTATGGTGTTCAATTCAAAGCGAATCGTCAGAATTGTTAGAGTGGCAGTTGATTAAAATATTGAATTGTCTTCCCAATGTAGAAGATTTAACACTGAGAAATATTTGCGTGGGAGGCAGGAGTAGTGATGATGATTCTGAGCTAAATATGCATAAACTGAGAAATTTGATGATTGATTATTGCATGTTCGATTCTCCAAATATTTTAAACAAAATTCCAAAGGACACAGTCAGAGATTTGATCTTCACTTTTGAGCCTGTTGATGAGACGAGCTATCAACAATTCTTTAATAAACAAACAAAAATCAGAAAGCTTGAAATATTTGAAAACGATCAAATAAACTTCAGTCACCTCGAACTGGAACATTTAAAGATTAGCTCAAATATTAATTTACCTGTGGTGTTACGACAGCAACCAAAACTTCGTTACCTTGATTTTGCCATTACTTGGATTGATAACGAAATCTTTACAGCAATGTGTGAATTGAAAGATCTTGAAGTCGCTAAAATGCTAATCGATCAAGTATCTTGTCACGTTTTTAAATCACTCAAAGGAATGTTCAAATTAAAAGAACTTCGCTTAGATTCTCATTGTTCATACGACGGTGGCTATCTGCTCGAGTTAAGCATGATGCAATTCTTGCAAATTGAAAAGTTCACACTTTTATTCAGTGAAAGGAAAATTTCACAAGAAATTCTCATACAGTTAAGCCAAAACTTCCGAAAATTGAAGCATATTGAATTTCTTAATCGCTCGATTAGCATCATCAACACACTTCTAGAATATTTTCCAAATCTAGAATCGATTCTTTTTGATTTCTTTTCTATTTTTGGAGCACCAGAAGATATTTTAATCGTAAGTGAAGATTTAAGACACGAGAATCTTAAACAATTTGTCGTGATTAACATCAATATGAATGAAGTTGAAAACACAAGATCACTTCTCAAACTTATCAGTGTTTGTCCAAACCTGGAGCGCATTATGTTATCAAAACTAACCGGGATTTTTCACGAAGATCTTCAACAAATTTTTGACGATCATCCAAAGTTAACTCATTTAAGTCTTGAATTTGATAGCTTCAGCCTTCAATATCAAACAATTCAACTTATTCAAAGTGCTGTTTCGAGGCTCAAACACATTCGATTTGATGGACTCAGCAACTTTCCGTCTTATTCCATATTAAAAATACTCTTTGAAGATGAATTTCCTAACATCACATTCTACAAATATTCAACAGGAGACGGCCAACTTATCATGAAGAAACGAAATGTTTCCGATTGGTATTTGGATTTTAAACTCATGGATCATTTTTAACTAAATTTCATAGTTTGGAAGCAAATTTTTATTAATGTCGTCGAGCCTGTGGATCCAAATACTAATCGCTAAGGCAATGGCGGTAAAACAATGGCAATTACGAGCGATTTTATTTCTATGAAATTTCAAATCGTTATAAATCATATTTCACATATTCAAATAAACAATGATAACTAATAAGATCTTTCTCTTAACAAATATGATCCCAACGACGTAGGAAAACTTGCGAAGGCAAATGAACGACAATTTCTTTCTGAAGGAAATCAAAGGTTAAATCAAAGTCTTCTTCAGCTTAATATTTTAATGTTACCTAAGATATTGTAAGCAACTTCACGATTTCTTTATCAAGGCTGAGAAATGATTAAACGATTCTGGGTTTAACAATCTAAAGAAAATGTTCATTTAGCGATCGCATTAACTAAATAAGTAAATTTCGGTTATCTTTAAACGAGAACAAAGCGAGCACGATTTCCAAAATTAATTTGATTAATATCTTCGTTTCTTCGATTCGATTTGATATATCAAATAACAATTTCATTAGAAGTGATCTTTGGTGAGCTTTTTATAAACTTCTTACCAACTTAGAAACTCTTAATCAAACTATAAAATTAATGAACAATTTTTCGCACTCTTCACAATGAACATCAAAATCATTCCAAGATTTTTTATCTCCATCAACCGCGGGTGACCGAAATTTAGTCGGGATCATTAGAAAATTACGTAACATGACTGGGCTTTAAATTTGCCTCAAAATGTAAATAGATAAGGAAATATTTTGTAAATAATCAAATTCAAATTAAACTTAATATTTTTTATTCAATCGCCGATTGGCGCTCAGCGACAATTAAACTTCAATTTTAAGCGGAATAAATTAAAATATCACATGAAGAAACAATAAAAGAAATTCTTTAAGATAAAATGCAATGATGTTGACTTGTAATGTCGTCATTCCCATCTTTAATATTATTTTGTGCTTGCAATATTGACTTGATGCTTTCAGCTTCTTTCATCCAATCGAGGATTTGTTTGTGTAGTAACTTCTTTCTTTCAACATCGACTTCTTCATTTAGTAATGGCACGAGGATACCTAAAGCACGTTTATATGACTCGAGTGAAGATTCTAACTTCCTTTCATAAGCGTAATATTCTGCTGATTGTCCAATTTCCAATCCATTTCTTAATTGCGGATGCGAATAACATTTTTGGAGAAGAGTTTTGAAGTTTTGCGATGGTGCAAGAGCTTCTCGTACCGAGACTGTTGATTGTGATGGAATTGCTGGTTGCTGAGATTTCGAAACTTCAGGTGTTGACGATGTTTGTTGTTGATTGGCGAACAATATTGAATGTTTAATTTCTTCAGCTCTATTTAGATAACTTAAAGCTCTTGCACGTAATGATGCTTTTCTTGTTCCACTTTCAGCGTCAATTAAAGGTACGAAATAAGTTAAGCCTTCACAATAAAGATGATAAGCTTTCGTATAATTCTGATTTTTGTCTTCTTCAACTGCTTTTGTCACAATTTCAATTGCTTTTTCCATATTTTCATCGCTTGGTGCATGTTTTAAATCAACGAAATCGTGATTAAAAAAATCATCGAATGTAATTCTTTCATTTGGATCATGTTTTAGGAGTCGTGTTAGCAAATCTTCACATTCTATTGAGATCTTTGTGTTACGAGGAATTTCAATTTTTTGTAATGATTTCACTTTTTCCATTAATTCTTCAATGGATTTGGAACTGTAAGGAGCGCTTCCGAAAAGGCATTCATACAAAATTACTCCAATGCTCCACAGATCAGCTCTAGCGTCGTATTTATGTTTCAAGATGATTTCAGGTGCCATGTACAATGGAGATCCTTTGATTGTGTCATTTTCTTCTTCTGGAGTTAATTGCTGCGCAAATCCAAAGTCGCAAATCTTTAAAATGTAAGTTGAAGTTGACTTCGAACGTGTAAGCAACAAATTTTGAGGCTTCAAATCGAAATGACTGACATTGTTATCACGAAGATACTTCATGGCTTCTGCTAACATTCTAATGAAGATGCGACACGTAGTTTCAGGAAGTCTTTGTCTTTTCTTAATGAACGATGAAAGCGAAACTTCACATAGTTCCATAATTATGTAAATATTCTGTGCATCCCAGCAAAAATCTTCCATTTTTACAATATAAGGATGTTGAAGTTTCTTTAATAATTGAATTTCTTGAACAAGATTGTCAATCGACAATTTTCGTCCTTTTAAAATTCTCTTTCGATCCAAAATTTTTATTGCCACAATTTGCCTTGTTATTTTATCAATCGCTTTATGAACTGTAGAATATGTACCAGAACCTAAAAGGTTTAATAATTCGTAGTTATTTATGTTTGCCATTTTTATAAGAGAAGGAAGTTTTATTTAATTTTCTATAGAAGAAGTACAGTAAAACTTCGACTTGTTTGTTTACATTTTGTGAAGAAAATAAACACGTTGAGTTGGGTTTTAAGTTCATTTTCTCTAAATATAAAATTATTTTTCTATAGAATCTTGTTAACTGTTTTTATAATCATGGGATCAAAGAAGAAATTAGCTCAGAAGCTTGAACGTGCAACACATGCAAACTCTAGAAGAACATTAGCAGTTATTAGAGATATCAAAAAAATAAATAAACGAGATAAAATTAAAGGCGATTTTGCTACAAAGGTACCTAAATTGAATAATTTTCTACAAAAAATGATTTATATTCTATTAAAATTTTATAAAAACTATTTAGGCCAACATTGAAGGCAAGAAGCTTTCATTTTTTGCAGAGAAGATAGAAGACAAAAATGAAGCATTAACAGCTGAAGAATTCGAAGCAATAATTAACGAGTAAGTAAACTTAATTTTAAATCGTATCTTTTAACAAAATTAAATTTATTTATTTTCCTCTATTTCAGATACTTTCATAGATTTGATGATGAACTTGAGCAAATACAATTAAAGACTCAAATTAACAGCAGACGAAGAAATCAACATTCAAGTCGAGAATCGATCATTAAAATAACTCTCGAGAAAGATATCAACAATTTCAAAGCTGGTGGCATGGAACTCTTAGATCTTTGCGACCCAATTCAATTTAAAGCTCTTAAAGATTGGGATGGCAATGCTCACAATATTCAACATTTAAAAATGAAATTCATTTCGAAAAGTTATCTTGACCAGCTCAAGTAACAAGAAAATTTATCTGAAAATCAAACGAACATTAAATAAAAGAATTAAATTTTATCTTTAATTTTTTTTATTTAGGTATTTCCTTTTTTCCATCGAGCAAATGTTTCTACGTGGCTAAGTAAATTAAGTTTAAGAAATATCAAAGATTAATGCATTAATATTATAAGATAAGAGATATAACACCCTTAAGTTGTTTTGTTTTCATATTTCAAAAATTATTTCATCTTTATTTTTTCTCCAATTTTCCTTTGCAAGAAGAAAAAAAACAAAATGATAAAGAAAACTCATAAAAAATACATAACGAGAATAAGTTGATTAATTTACATATGATTGATAATCCAAACATCTTTCAGTGATGAGATACGGTTGCAACTCAACAAATATTTCCTGTAAAAATGATCGCGCGATAGAAGACAAAAAGAAGTTATGAAAACTTTCTTTTCGTTTCAAACAACGCAGTGAATTTTTTTTTCTTTACATAATCGAGCAGAGGCCTGAATTTTCAACCCCACGTCTAACAGGAACCGAAATCTTTTCAAATTTGACAGATTGCAATTCTGGTTTTACTTCATAACTAATTTCAGGTTCGTCTTGACGACTCTCCGCTTCATTTTGATGATCCTTTTGTGGGTCTGATTGGAGGTCTACACTATTTGAATCTAATTTATTGACTGAATCTAGATTACTGTTTTCATTCTGATCATTTACATTAGAATTAGAATTTAAGTTCTTATTCGATAAACTACTTTGTGCCAATGATGAAAGTACAATTTTTAATTTTTTATTGCGTCCCATCGACGGTTGAGCGCCACTGGATTCTGGTCGTGAGTTATTATCATCATCGACATCACGTGAATGCTCATCGTGAGCCGGAGGTGAAGGCAACAGCGATGAATCATCAAACACAGCGTTGTCATCATGTGCTGGCTGGAATGGCGTCTGCGGTGAGTTTATGTAAGCATCATCTAATGGACAAATGTTTGTCATGGAAGATACAATCGAAAATCATTTATGGTTATTATGTTGTTTGAATTGTCATAAGAAATAACAAAATTAAGAAGAAAAACAAAGAAAAATCTCACCCTGCATTGCGTCATCGATAGCAATTTCCGTCACTTCCACAAAAGCATCCTCTTCATCAACTAAATCTTCATATCCATCATCCTTTGGCTCTTCTTTGATTTTTACAATTAAATTTTGCTCTGAATTATCGTCTGATGGTGTGACGTGATTATCATTGGTGTCATCATCGTCATCATCGTCAGGAACCAATTGCGTTTCAATCTTTGGTTCATTAATCATGACATCGTCATCTGCTGGTATTGTCACATCAACTTTCTCATCGATCATTTCAGACTCATCAAGGATTTCTGTAACGACTGGTTCTTCTGGTGGCAACATGATGACATCATCGTCATCATCAGTTCTTGCAATTTGCTTTTCTCCTTCTTCGTCATCTTCTTCGTTCTCTTGCTTTATCACGACATCATTAGAATTCTCTTTCAAATCTTCTTCAACTTTAGACTCTTCAGCTGATGCTTCCATTAAACCAGACTCATCAAATGTTAGTGATGCCTGATAAATTATAAATAAGTACATATTAAAGATTTATGATTTTATAAAAAAAAAGAAATTCAAATTACCTTGTAATCCTCGTAACAAATAGGATGATAAAATTTGTTATCAACCTTAAGTGCTGAACGTAAATGCCATTCTTCAGTTTCTTCATTAAAGAATGTTTCAAATTTATCATGACACATTTCACAGCAATGTTCATCATTATCGGGACCAGCTGGACAACTGATTGTTGCAGCATTATCTAAACTTCCACCAGGGCCACGTAAGAAATTTGATTCATCACCTTGATCAGCCATCGATTCCATTTGTTGTGCTTCGAAAAAGTTTTTCTCTGTTAATTGAATAATGAAATTTAGTAATTAAATAATTTCTTAAACCTTTTATTCAATTACTCACCTCTTTCTTCAAGATCTTCAATCTCTTCATATTTAATCCAATCTGATTGATTATAATACCATTTACGGAAATGTGCGCGACGTTTACTGTCACGTTCACGACGATTCTGACGGAAATGCCAATCAAGATGTTGGCTATATTTCATTGTCTGTTCTGGAGGGAATCTTAAACCACAACTGCTGCATTGAATTCCAGAATAAAGCGTGTCAATGATTGCTGCTTGTCTCTTTTTAATTGTTTCAGGACGTGACAATAAAACTGGTTGAATATTTCGTTTATCATCAATTTGAGGTAATTTTCCTTTCCTTGTATCATCTGATGAAACTTCTGGTGACTTTTCCTTACTCTCATTGTTAAATGTTGATGTTGGTTCATTATTTCCACTAGAATTGGAGCCACCAATAATTCCAGTTGCAACAAGTTTCTTAAGCAGATCGTTGATGTCTAAGTTTGGAACATTTAGGGATGCAGGTCCAGTTGTTGACACAACAGCTTCATGTCCGATACCTGGAATCACATTCATTGCTGGAAGTGTTTGTGATGGAATCAAATTTTCATTTTGTTGTTGTGGTTGCTGTGTTCGCATGTCATTCTCCACCAACATGTTAATATCAAGAGCATCATCCACTTGTGGGATTAATGGCGGTGATTTACAACCTCTAGAAAGATGAGTTCGTCGCATGCCAAGCATGTTAACTCGGCCTGGTTGTACATTGTCTGGTAACACCGTAAATCGGATGAAATGCTTTCCCATTTTTTTCGGTGTTCCGCCAAACTCAACTTTAAAGATTTCATTGTTAATGACAACCGTGAGAAAGAAGTCAGCAAATTGAAGCGAATAAATTTGTCCTTTAAATTCAAAATATTGAATTGTTGTGTCGAGAAAGACTGGAACCATAATTTCAGCATCAATGACAATGTTTATCAATCCAAGCACCAAGTCACTTCGCTTTCTTCCAATCTTCACTTCCGGTGCTTTTCCTTCAATTCTCACCATTCGCAATTTATCATTAAGAACGATTTGTGTTGGTTGATTGTTAAAATAACATTCATAGAAATTATTATCAATATAAAGTTCACGCGTTGGTGAACCAAACTTTATTTGATGAACATTTGATTCGACTAAGAAAGATTTGTATGAATCGTTGAAATTGAGATCGATTGAATATTGATCGTCGATGATGACACGACTTTGGCCAGCACTAAATTTAATATCATGTGGTTCGCCTAAGTCGTTAAAGATAATTGCTGTCTCATGATAAAAACGAAGTAAATGATCTTTTGTTCCATCTAAACGAAGTGTTCGCATTTTATTATTTAAAACTGGTTGCGAAATGCTTTGAGGTAACACGAGCGGCATTTGTGATTGTTTTTGCATTTGCATCACCATTGGATTTGATTCCCAAGGATTTAAAAAGTGATGTGGCATCATGTTATGCGTTGGTGGTGTCATCATTGGCATTGGTGGACGAATGTTTGTGTTCATGGGAGGTAACGGCCATTGATTATTATTTGGTTGATTCCATTTCGAATTCTTTCGCTTTTCTTTACGAATGCTTGCTGGAACTGAACGTGAAATTTCTTTCTTAACTCTTCCAAGACGTTCAATAAACATTTTCTTACCAGTTGGCTTTCTTAATTCAGCTGCCGTCAAATTTCCCATGTCAGGAACTTCGTCAATTCTTTCATCATTCACATGGTTGAATTTCTGTTGCTTCATTGGTGGCGGTTGATTAACGATTTCAGGTTCTTCCTCAACCGTGTTCAAATTTTGTGATGTAGTTGATTCTTCATCAATTTTCACTTCGCCAATTTTTGTATCTTTACGTCCAAGAATCTTTCGTACAAGTTCAGCTGTTCCATTCTCTCCTGGTGGCATTTTTGGTAATTCATCCAACAATTTGATTCCACCTCGAAGTTTTGCTTTCTCTTTTGTTGCATTAAGTTTTGCACGAACAGCTTCAAAATCAGCTTTTTCCTTCTGAAATTATTTTATTCTGTCATTCAAAATGATCACAAACATTTGATATGTCAAAACTCACCGATTTTGATCGACGCTCTTCAGATGCTTCTCCTAATGTTCTCAAGTCAACATCTTGATTGCCAAATAATCTTAAAAAATAAAGAAATTTAATTAAATTAAGTTATAAAATGATGCAAATTATTAAAATGATAAAATTTCTTCATACAAATCTGTTTCCGCTCGGTTCTTTTTAATTGATGGCTCTGATTCCAATGGTTCATCGCTTATTGATCGTCGCTTCTTTCCACCTTCAATACCAGCATTTGTTGATCTTAAATCTGTATCATATTTCGATGGCTCAACTTTTCCTATTCCTGTAAAGAGATCTAATTATGTCAATCACAAGAAAATTATAAAGAAATGTCGAATGGGCGAAACTTGTCAAAAATTAAAAATTAAATAAACTTTCGCTTCTCGTCACAACAACAAATGCCTGCAAAAATTTCCATCTGTCGGCTCATCATTTTATGGATGTCTCAAGAATTTATGTAATTTCTAAAATGACATTTTCTCACTGATCTTTGTACACAACGAAGGACCTCAAATTCAAAATAAAATCATAATTATCGTCACTGTTAATTAATAAAAAAAGAGATGTCGTCGTCAATAAAAAACGATCCCTGGTTTTAAGTCCCCACGACATTTTGCAGATTTGTTTTTGTTTTGTTTCTTTTTTATTCAATTACATTTTTTTTATGTAAATTAATTCTTAATAGATTTCCCCAAAATTACTATAAAGTGTGGATAAAACAATGAGAAAACTCTTTTTATTAACTTTTTTTTAATCATCAAAACTAAAGTTATTAAGGTTTTAATGAAAGGAACATTCATTAATGTAAAATGAGTCATCATTAATATGACACATTCAGGTACAATTTTCATTTCTTTGTTTTAGTTTTATGAGCACTTTGTCATTATTATCACAGATATTTAAAGATCCTTAAGCTACAGAAGGTTTATCGCCGTCACAATAAATTTTAAAAGTGATTTACTTATTGTGACTACTAAAATTGGTTTATTTTCTTTACCGTTATCATCGGATGGAATATCATGACTAGACTTCAAATCTTCATCATTCAACAAGTCAGTTAGAAGTTTATCTTTGTTAGACTTGCTACTTGTTGGATTTGTAGTGCTGTCGGGTTTCATCAATGCATCACTGGAGAGATTGAAACGTAAATCAACATCCTTAGAACTATCGCTGTTGTTTGGTGGTGACATTTTCGAGGGACTTTTCGATGAACGTGATTTGGAACCTATTGATGATTTATGGTGATGTGAAGAAGAGCTGCGTGCTGATTTTTTCTCTTCGTCGTTTCTCTTCCTTGGTGATGTATCATCACTTGATCCTGATTTTTTACGTTCACTTGATTTCGATGATGAATTCTTTGATGAATGTGATGATCTTGACTTTGTATTTTGACTATTGTTCTTGTTCAGTTTCATTGAATTGCTATGCGAATCTTCTCTAGATTTTCGTATTCTCGGATCTCTTTCCTCATCTCTTGACATTTTATTGTTGGTTTGTTGTTGACTAAATTTTGGAATTCTTGGCAGAGATTTTGTCAAGGAACTTCCAGAAAGTGACACTAATGGAGAAGGAATTGATGGCGGCATGTTAGAGTGACTAATTGTTGTCGATGGAACATTTTGTCTCATTCGAAGTAATCGTGGATCTCGAGAACGAGCTGTCGATATCATTCCAGCACTTACTGGTGCAATTCGAACACGACCTTGTTGTGCAGGTGGAGGAATCTAAGAATAATTTTGATTGATGTCATTAGAAATGGAAGTTAGATATTAAAAAAAAATGTCTTACCATTATTCCAGGCATTCCAGTCGATTGGACTAAAGAAACAGGAACTACTGGCACTGATGGATTCTAAAAATTAACAAATCTGTTAGTGAAAAAGAAAACTAATTAAAATTTTACTTTAATCTTACAACAAATCCACTACGAATTTCTTTTTCTGATTCAGCAATTTTCTTCTTCGTCACCATCAGTTCGAGTTCAATTTTTCGTTGCTTCAACTCCAACAATTCGCGTTCTTTCTCTTTCATTTGCTTTAGAAGATCTTCCTGAGCTCGAGTTTGAAGTTGAGCTTCTGGTGGTGGCTGGTTTTTGAGAAAGTTTGGATTAACATGAACTGATTTAGGCACAACTTTAGCTGTTATTGGCCAATTGTTATCCAAAACGTTGACTTTAACATCTAAAGCATAAAGCTTTGTTTGGGGAAAGACTTCATTCCATGTCATTCGAAGATTGAACATCTTTTCACGAACTTTTTCATTGACCTGTTAATAATATATTATTAAAAAATGTTGACAGAAATGAATCAATTTTTTTATCTTCATTTACCTTTTCAAACACTCCACAAAACATATTTACAATATTTTGTGCGAACAGTTGTTTGTACTTATCACCGACATTTTTAACAATCGAATCAATTAAATAAAGTATTGGTAGTTTAACATCCGGTGACACCTAAATAAGGCAGCAGAAAATATTTAAGTTAAAACGAAAACCAACAACGAAATTGAATCTAAAGTCTTCTTGTTGTTCTCTACACAATCTTGTAACTGCAAAGTGACTCAAAAATTATTTATTTTGATTTTATTCTATAAGATGAAATGATCAAGAGAATGAAAATGATTTGCATTACTCTTCTTTTTATTTTTCAAAAATATTCAAATGTGTTAAGTCACGATTCTATGTACTCTAAAAATTAAGTTTTTCTGTTTCGTGAATATACTTTTTAATAAATACATTTAAACAATTTCGGTTTGTCTGGGAATTTCATATAATTTAAAGCAGATTCTAACGAAAACATTACTTTTATGTTTAGCTTTATGGTTTGATTAATTCGAATTTAATTGCAATTTAATTTTAAATTGAGTCAATATCGTTAATCAATTCTTCCAATAAAACAATAAAACTTACAGAAAAGTTGTGACTCTAATTAAAATGTCCACTTTAAATTATGTATTTAATGAATCTTCTAATCAATTATTGCTAATAAGAAGTTATTAACAATCCAAACAGATGTTGGAAAAGTCTCATTCATTTTTGTTTGGAAAT